CGGGTTCGAATCCCCATATTGCTACAATGTGTGAAGCCCATTTCTGGCGTCCCCCGCTGTGATGTTGCTGGAATATTGCTAAAAGCGGCGTAAAATTTAACTCACTCAATTACCATTCAACTCTCAATTGGTAGGTATAATAAATGTGCCCATGCGTTACATGGTGAAGCTATCGAGCAGCTTAGAACATAGCCGTTAATAGAGCGTCTGCTTGGAGGGCAGATTCCCAAACGTGCGTACCAAAAGACGCTAAAGCTTGCTACTTGCTGTTAACCAGCCTCCGGATTAAGGAGAAATCAAGGAGAGATCATTTGGGAGTCTGTACAATGTGTCTGAGTTGGGCATCCATGCGGCAGGTGTCCGGGGCGGATGTCATAAATCTGACATGAATTAAGAAATACAGTTCGCTCTGACACCAAGCGTCCTCGTGCTTTAACTATAAAGGGCGAAAGTGTGCTTTATTACACTGTACATGGTGGTAGAGCGAACTGTATTTCTTTTCTAAGATGCCAATTTAATACTTTCTAAGGATAATTACGATTAAACTAAGGCAGAAAACAAACGACGGTGTCGGCGACCTAAATTAAGAATCCTCGCACTGGGCTAACTGGCGCGCTGTTCTATTTATGTGTCTGGGCCCTGTTCCTCACATAATTGGTCTTCAGCAACCCATGCCTGTCTTAGAGCCAACAACCGGGATCGGGTTAATCCGGCTAGCTATTCTCGAAACGTTCGTAGCCCTACGAACGTCTTAAGCCCATTCTTAACACACTGGCTACGATCAAAGTTAGGAATTCTTAGGACTACGAACGTTTCGAGAATAAGGGCCCGGACTCGGTTGACAGACAAGGGCTGACTTGGTTGACACAAGGCATCGTATTCCAATTGTATAGATGGATGCTCATGATATCAGCCACTTTATTGACTGGTCCAGACTCGACTACCAACAGATCGCCGTCATATATCTGAGGCGGTAAATAGAGAATCTCACTCAAGTGTCTTCTGATATCAATTATATCAACACGAGTTGATAAAGTTACAAATATCCGAAGCTTGCCGGGGATATTTTTACTTTTATCAAAGAGTGTTGATATATTTGATATCAGAAGACACGAGGGTGAGATTCTATTAATCATCCAAAATCACTCTTCATTAATTTTCAATGAAAAATGTACATCTCTGAACATGGTACTGCCATTAGACTTGTAGTGCAGCGATGTCATAGCATTGTGACGTCATCAAGTACATGACGTCATAGCATTGTCAGGGCATTGTACAAAATCTACTGTCAAAACGATATCTCCTAGGAGATATCGTTTGATCTCACACAAGCGATATCTCCTGTGGAACACAGTTTTGGATGATAAACAACAATTAGTCCGCAATGTTAAACCTGATTTTACCTCACCACCTTTGACTTGACCCCTAATTTCCCACCACCATGTCGTCTGGCGATTCTCATTGACTTCCTGTCACAGACGATAACAAACGACCGGGGTCACCACTTCTGATTGTGCTGAGAGAACAATGGCGGTCCCTCGACTCTGGATATGAAGCCGTGGACTGATGGAGTGTGATGAGAGAACAACAGCAACAATACGACTCTCATGGGGGAGATATGACGAGCACAATGGATATATACACCGATTATACTCAACCGTGAGGTGATGTATGGAGGGATCAGACGGCTGATCACTGGCTTTGTTTGGCTGGAAACATCCTGGCGCTGGTTGGAGACTAGCAACGGTGAACATATTTGCCTTGTGAAGATATCAGCTCGGGTTCTGGAACATTCTCACCTGTAGGATAACACTTCAGATGAGGAGGAAACGAGAAACGGCTTTGGGAAACGAATCTGTTGAAGTCATTCAAAGGTTGAAGCGTTTTCAATGATATATCCTGACGGTGTGCAGTGATTGTTCGCGGTGTTGGGATATATTTGCACGTATTTTGTTGGGTCTTTTGGAATCGGAACATCCTACGATTCTGAATTGTAGTAAACGGTTGTGGTTCTTTAGGAAAGTAACTGTGGTATTGTGTTAAGTACAAGACGATTTCTGATCGCGTCTTTGGGAATCGGAACATCCTACAAATCTGAATTGTAGGAAACGACTTTTTCTTCAGGAAGACAACTGTGGTATTGTGTCAAGTACAAGACGATTTCTGATCAGGTCTTTTGGAATCGGAAGGTCCCTCGAAACGGAATTGTTGTCACCTGTTGTTGTTTCTTCAGGAAAGTAACTGTGGTATTGTGCTATATAAAAGACGATTTTTGGTCGGATCTTTTGACATCGGAACATCCCACGATAAGGAACTGTAGTAACCTGCTGTTGATTCTTATGGACAGTATCAGTAGTATTGTCCTAAGTACAAGACGATAACTGTTCTATATTAACCCTCCATGCATTCAACAAGGATGAAGGACTTCCTTGCCTTTGATGATCGTATGGATTACCGATATTGTCCGATCTTCGTACACAAGGACACGTCAGTTTAACACAATTCCGTGTACGTGATTCTTAACGGATCAAAGCAGATTTTATTATTCGCCTGATCCTCACACGACATTCGTTATACAAAAACTGGATCTATATATTTTCATGGAATAGCGGACTGTTTGGATTGATGTTAATGCTCTCCCAAACCTGATCACGGAAGCAGAGCCAATAACTGTTATTGATCCAATAGCTCACTGAATACCTGGTAGCACTGTGTCTTGCTGACCCAAAGCTATAAACATACGATAGGTGTTCCTGGAGTGATATGCTGACACGCGTCAGGTCCCGTCAGTTTAGGACTCTAAATAAGCGAGGCTGATGTGAGAAGAGCTCAGTTGATTGAGCTAAATTCCTTTCGAGGTGCTATCTAAATGAGAGTTATATATATATATATACGACCAGTGTTCCTGATGAGATTTCCTGTTACGCATCAGGTCCCGTCAGTTTAGGACTCTAAATAAGCGAGGCTGATGTGAGAAGAGCTCAGTTGATGGAGCTAAATTCCTCTGGAGGTGCTATCTAAACGACCAGTGTTCCTGGTGAGATTTCCTGTTACGCATCAGGTCCCGTCAGTTGAGGGTGTAAATAAGCGAGGCTGATGTGGGAAGAATTCTGTTGAAGGAGCACAGGTTTTTTCGAAGTGCTACCTAAATGAGAGTTGAATAGGACGAATGTTCCTGGTGACATTTCCTGATACGCACCAGGACCTGACATTTGAGGGCTCTAAATGTGAGAGCGGCTGATGTGTGAAGAGCGTGAAAAGAGCTCAGTTGATGGAGCTAAATTCTTTGGAAGTGCTACCAGCTTTGTAAGTCTTCATGGTGTGATTTCCTGATACATACCAGGCCCTGACAGTTGAGGGCTCTAAATAATAGAAGTTAATGTGAGAAGAGCTCAGTTGAGGGAGCTAAATTCTTTGAGAGGTTCTATCTAAATGATAGTTGTATATGAGTTACAAGAAGAAGTGACAACAGCTGTTCCTGTTGGGATTTGTTGATACGGATTATTCCCTAACAGTTGAGGGCTCTAAATAAGAGCGGCTGATGTGAGAAGAGCTCTGTTGATGGCGCTCAATTCTTTTGGAAGGTGCTATCTAAATGAGAGTTATATACCTAAAGATTAGAGTTCATAATGAGAAGGACGTCTGAGAAGAAGAGGTGTAAATGATAGCAACCAGCGAGTAGCGTTCTTAATGATAAGGACCTCTCAGGAGTAGTGATATAAACGAGAGGTGATTTCTGAGGAGAGGTCTTTGAACAGCAGAGATCCCAGTGTGAAGAACCTATAAGGAGAAACGATAAAATTGAGAGAAGAAATCTTAACGAACAGAACTACCGAACTCTTAATGAGAAGCCCTTCTATTCTCCTTGGGAGAAGAGTTAATAGCACAATGAAAAGAACTCTCCGAGAGAATACTTCTGAATGAGCAGTTAAACAGAAGACCACCTAATGCTAAAAGAGATCTCCAGGAATGGCATTGTTAAAGAGAGGAGTAAGAGAAGGAAGGTTCTGAGGAGCAGGACCCATTTGTGAGAAATCCGCAGGAGACGAAATTGTAATGCTAAGATCTCTTGATGAATGTTGTTCTTGAAGAGAAGGTATCCCGTGCGCAGGGAGCTCATTATTACCACTGAACCAAAGGACGGACAGAGCACCCAGTTACTACACAGAGAAGACTCTACGTTTCGGATATAACACCAGAAGACACCCGTTTCTCGGATATACTATATATGCTACTACACAGAAGACTCTACGTTTCGGATATAACACCAAGTGCAAGATATATATGCTACTACACAGAGAAGACTCCACGTTTCGGATATAACACCAAGTGCAAGATATATATGCTACTACACAGAGAAGACTCCACGTTTCGGATATAACACCAAGTGCAAGATATATATGCTACTACACAGAGAAGACTCCACGTTTCGGATATAACACCAAGTGCAAGATATATATGCTACTACACAGAGACTCCACGTTTCGGATATAACACCAAGTGCAAGATATATATGCTACTACACAGAGAAGACTCCACGTTTAGGATATAACACCAAGTGCAAGATATATATGCTACTACACAGAGAAGACTCCACGTTTCGGATATAACACCAAGTGCAAGATATATAACACTAAGTGCAAGATATATATGCTACTACACAGAGAAGACTCCACGTTTAGGATATAACACCAAGTGCAAGATATATATGCTACTACACAGAGAAGACTCCACGTTTAGGATATAACACCAAGTGCAAGATATATATGCTACTACACAGAGAAGACTCCACGTTTCGGATATAACACCAAGTGCAAGATATATATGCTACTACACAGAGAAGACTCCACGTTTCGGATATAACACCAAGTGCAAGATATATATGCTACTACACAGAGAAGACTCCACGTTTCTAATACACAGGATATAACACCAAGTGCAAGATATATATGCTACTACACAGAGAAGACTCCACGTTTCGGATATAACACCAAGGATATAACACCAAGTGCAAGATATATATGCTACTACACAGAGAAGACTCCACGTTTAGGATATAACACCAAGTGCAAGATATATATGCTACTACACAGAGAAGACTCCACGTTTCGGATATAACACCAAGTGCAAGATATATATGCTACTACACAGAGAAGACTCCACGTTTAGGATATAACACCAAGTGCAAGATATTTATGCTACTGCACGGTGAAGTCTCCACGTTTCAGATATAACACCAAGTGCAAGATATATATGCTACTACACAGAGAGGACTCCACGTTTAGGACATAATACTAAGTGCAAGATAATCCATATATTGAACACAGCCAGTGGATATATAATGTTCATTCGTAGACAATGCAACGTCACGAATGATAAGATTTATACATGAAATCACATGGCGTAAGTCTTGGCTTATTGTCACCCAACGGAATGATTACCTCTGGAAGGTCATCAATACTTCATACATCGTTCAGAAAATGAAATTTTATCGATAGGCCTTGAATTATACATGTGCAGTGTCAATACAGCTTCATTTTGTTGTCTCAGGTCATAGACGTATGATACTATTTATTGTACAACATCGAGTGTATTGGGAAAGGCAAGGAGAAAGGGGCACTGGAGTCTTAAGGCAGTTTTGGACATTCTTTGATGACCCTGGTCAGATCGATGCAGGAATTTCACAGATGTGATACTTGAAAATCTTTTCAAAGGAAAAAGAGGTGTTCTGTTGGAAAATCGAGAGTTTCAAGCGGACCAGTTTCAATGTAGTCAGTGGAAGTTCCACTGACTCAACTCTGTAGATTTTTTTTTGAGTCAATATGATTTCAGTCAGTCATAGAGTTGCCTTATGAAGAGATTGAAATAATTGATTATTTGGTGAGGTGTACTATATGTCTGGTGTACTGGAAGACTTGTATACCTAAGCTGTATATCAGGTTAATCTGTGTCAAGGTTCGTGTGATAACACAGGTATTCAGAAAGGTGAACTGACATTTGACGATCAGAGATTTGTGTTTACTGACAACAACGCCACATATGCAATAGATGCACGTGGATGAAAATATTGCTCATTCCGAGGATGACTTCGCCATTCAGAGGATCATGCCGAATGTTTATATTGACGGAAAACTCTTGGAGTTTCTTTTAATTTAAATACCATTGTGAACAAAATAATTTAATCTTGGCATCGACTGACACGAAGTTGTCATATGTGACAGGGAGTTCTGGTTTAGCAACACAAAGTAACACATACGGGTGGATTTAGTGTCATGAATTACACAGGGTAACCGTGGTATCGGTGTGTTCACCTCCTGTCGAATATTCACCCATTGTAACGAGACTGAAGTCTTGTTTTATATAGCTCAATTGCTACTGGAATCACCGGCGAGCGAAGAGACGTTGTTGAGACGTTGCTGCAGGTGCGTCCTGACTGGGACAATTACTCTGGTGAATCCCTCTAGGTAGCTAGGACTACTGTACTAGGGAAGGAATCTCACAATGGATATGTCGGCAATAGATTCCTTCGAGGTTTGTGTTGTTGTCTCCCTGATGTGTTCATGTGTATATGCGCTGTTGTTTTGCTACTACTACTACTCCTCCTCCTCCTCCTCCTACTACTACTACTACTACTACTACCACCACCACCACTACTGCTACTACTACTACTACTGCTACTACTACTACTACTACTGCTACTACTACTATTACTACTACTACTGCTACTACTACTACTACTGCTGCTATTACTACGACTGCTGCTACTACTACCACCACCACCACTACTACTACTACTACTGCTGCTACTACTACTACTGCTACTACCACCACCACTACTACTACTACTGCTGCTACTACTACCACTGCTACTGCTACTACTACTACTACCACCACCACTACTACTACTACTACTACTACTACTGCTACTACTACTACTACTACTGCTACTACTACCACCACCACTACTACTAGTACTACTACTGCTGCTACTACTACCACTGCTACTACTACTACTACTACCACCACTACTACTACTACTACTACTACTACTGCTGCTACTACTACCACTGCTACTACTACTACTACTACTACTACCACCACCACTACTACTACTACTACTGCTGCTACTACTACCACTGCTACTACTACTACTACTACCACCACTACTACCACTACTACTACTACTACTACTACTACTACTGCTACTGCTACTGCTACTACTACTACCACCATCACTACTACTGCCACTATTACAACCACTAACACTACTACTACCACTACTGCTTCAACAACAAGACCATCGACAACTAATACTACCACTACTACAACTTGTCTTTATGTCTTACTGTACCTGTAATGTAGACCATAGGCCCCGTAATCACAACAATGGTGACAGGCATATAATGGTTACTTGTGAAACAATACATTCTATTTATCGCTTACTTGCCTGCAAAATTGTTCTCCCTTTGTTGTAGTGGTGTTTCAACAATTGAGGTGATGTTAAATGGGCTTATGGGGATTCGCGCTCAAGATTATTCCACTTATAAATTAAGAGACGTGCGTACACGAGTGTGTTTGGGGGATGAACTTGTCCACACTTGTGTCGACATTATGTTTCTATACCACTAAGATACGATGCCTAAATTTAACACGAATACCGAAGACACAGTCCAGTTTGTATCCACTTCCACTGCGCGCCAGGAAAGGGAACAACAAGTACACTCTCATAACATCTTTTGGTTGAGGATCGAACCAGGGACCATCCACTCTGCATCCTGACGCCCATTTCTTCTTGAAGTAGCATATAGAAATTAGTGTGATGAACGAGGTCGATACTTCTACGGATATAACATTTCTTTATTACAATACATCACGCGTTTGATCGTACATATTGTAATAAAGTAATTACATATCCGTAGAGATCCGTGGAGATCCGGGTTAGAATTCATCTTCAGTAACCCATGCTTGTCGTAAGAGGCGACTAACGGGATCGGGTGGTCAGGCTCGCTGACTTGGTTGACACATGTTATGGTTCCCAGTGGCCAAGATCGATAAACAGGTCGGTATTTTTTTGGACAAAGAACAGCGGTAAATTCTGTGTTTTCATTCCACATACTACATGTTTTCGGAAATATTTGTGAAAAAATTGGCATATAAAACGGGTGATTCGCGTTTTAAGAAAATATGAATATCAGTTCTGAGCAATCAGTCAACGTGTATCATCGTCTACAGCTCTAGAAACGTTGACAGCTTGAAAATGTACAGTTTACCCAAAAGTACAGGGAACGTTTGATGCCCTTGCACCACACGAGAAAGAATCGAACCCGAACTGTGCAAAGAAAGCGAACACATTACCTTCTGCCCTATAACCCATGAGGGGTGGGGTAGCCAAGTGGTTAAAGAGTTCGCTCGTCATGCCGAAGACCCGAGTTCGATTCCACTCATGGGTACAGTGTGTGAAGCCCATTTCTGGTGTCCCCCGACGTGATATTCAGGAAAATTGCTAAAAGCGGCGTAAACATCAGTCTCCGTCGGCTATAACCCATGAATATGACCCAGAAGTAGTAGCATGACGCTTTGTGTTTTTCAGCCTTATTGGATTGTTTGTTGTTTAACACCGCACTCAGCAAGTTTACTGCCTGGACCAGACAAACCCATGATCACCCTCGATCTCCTTTTCAGTCTGACTCGGATACTTCAACTGCAGAGGGCAGCAGTGACGACAGCGCCATGCCGACGCCAGGGGAAGGGGGGACAACCCCTAGAGGACGGGGAAGGGGACGCACCGGAAGCAAGTCCATGACCCAGTCTGGCTCCAACACATCTCTGGATGGAATGGACATGGTAAATAGTTAATGTTTGACAAACAAACGCACACACGTATCAGCGTAAGGTCAAACAAACGACACACATATCTGCGTAAAGTCAACTGACAGGTATGCATAAAGTCAAACAAACGCACTGATATATCTGCATGAGTCAAACAAACGCACTGATATATCTGCATAATGTCAAACAAACGCACTGACATATCCACGTAAACTTAAACAAACGCACTGACATATCCACGTAAAGTCAAACAAACGCACTGACATATCCACGTAAAGTCAAACAAACGCACTGACATATCCACGTAAAGTCAAACAAATGCACTGACATATCCACGTAAAGTCAAACAAATGCACTGACATATCCACGTAAAGTTAAACAAATGCACTGACATATCCACGTAAAATCAAACAAATGCACTGATATATCCACGTTAAGTAGAGCAAACGCAATGACATATCCACGTAAAGTCAAACAAATGCACTGACATATCCACGTAAAGTCAAACAAACTCACTGACATATCCACGTAAAGTCAAACAAACGCACTGATATATCTGCATAAAGTCAAACAAATGCAGTGATATATCTGCATAAAGTCAAACAAACGCACTGACATATCCACGTAAAGTCAAACAAACGCACTGACATATCCATGTAAAGTCAAACAAACGCACTGACATATCTGCATATAGTCAAACAGACGCACTGACATATCTGCATAAAGTTAAACAAACGCACTGATATATCTGCATGAAGTCAAACAAATGCACTGATATATCCACGTAAGTCAAAACAAACGCACTGATATATCTGCATAAAGTCAAACAAACGCACTGATATATCTGCATAAAGTCAAACAAACGCACTGATATATCTGCATAAAGTCAAACAAATGCACTGATATATCCACGTAAAGTCAAACAAACGCACTGATATATCCACATAAAGTCAAACAAACGCACTGATATATCCACATAAAGTCAAACAAACGCACTGACATATCCACGTAAAGTCAAACAAACGCACTGATATATCCACGTAAAGTCAAACAAACGCACTGACATATCTGCATAAAGTCAAACAAACGCACTGATATATCTGCATAAAGTCAAACAAATGCACTGATATATCTGCATAAAGTCAAACAAACGCATTGACATATCCACGTAAAGTCAAACAAATGCACTGATATATCTGCATAAAGTCAAACAAACGCACTGACATATCTGCATAAAGTCAAGCAAACGCACTGATATATCCGCATAAAGTCAAACAAACGCACTGATATATCCACGTAAAGTCAAACAAACGCACTGATATATCCACGTAAAGTCAAACAAACGCACTGATATATCTGCATTAAGTCAAACAAACGCACTGATATATCTGTGTAAAGTCAAACAAATGCACTGACATATCCACGTAAAGTCAAACAAACGCACTGATATATCTGCATAAAGTCAAACAAATGCACTGATATATCTGCATAAAGTCAAACAAACGCACTGACATATCTGCGTAAAGTGACATATCCAAACAAACGCACTGACATATCCACTGACATAAAAAAGTCAAACAAACGCACTGACATATCCACGTAAAGTCAAACAAACGCACTGATATATCCACGTAAAGTCAAACAAACGCACTGATATATCCACGTAAAGTCAAACAAACGCACTGATATATCTGCATTAAGTCAAACAAACGCACTGATATATCTGTGTAAAGTCATCCACTGACATATCCACGTAAAGTCAAACAAACGCACTGATATATCTGCATAAAGTCAAACAAATGCAGTGATATATCTGCATAAAGTCAAACAAACGCACTGACATATCCACGTAAAGTCAAACAAACGCACTGACATATCCATGTAAAGTCAAACAAACGCACTGACATATCTGCATATAGTCAAACAGACGCACTGACATATCTGCATAAAGTTAAACAAACGCACTGATATATCTGCATGAAGTCAAACAAACGCACTGATATATCCACGTAAAGTCAAACAAACGCACTGATATATCTGCATAAAGTCAAACAAACGCACTGACATATCTGCATAAAGTTAAACAAACGCACTGATATATCTGCATAAAGTCAAACAAATGCACTGATATATCCACGTAAAGTCAAACAAACGCACTGACATATCCACATAAAGTCAAACAAATGCACTGATATATCCACGTAAAGTCAAACAAACGCACTGACATATCTGCGTAAAGTCAAACAAATGCACTGATATATCCACGTAAAGTCAAACAAACGCACTGATATATCTGCATAAAGTCAAACAAACGCACTGATATATGTGTAAAGGTCAAACAAACGCACTGATATATCTGCATAAAGTCAAACAAATGACACACAGATATCTGCGTAAAGTCAAACAAACTGCACACATATCCACGTAAAGTCAAACAAATGCACACTTATCTGCGTAAAGTCAAACAAACGCACACATATTCGCGTAAAATCAAACAAACGACACACTTATCTGCGTACATTCAAACAACCCCGAACACTTATCCACGTAAAGTCAAACAAACGCACTGACATATCCACGTAAAGTCAAACAAACGCACACTTATTCGCGTAAAATCAAACAAACGACACACTTATCTGCGTACATTCAAACAAACCCACACACTTATCTGCGTAAAGTCAAACAAACGCACACTCATATCCTCGTAATGTCAAACAAACGACACACAGATATCTGTGTAAAGTCAACCAAACAAACGCACAGGTATCCGGAGATGACGTTAAAGACGACACCGAATACTCAGTGACTCGTGGGAAAATATACTATCATTATCTCCACAATGTACCACCATTAGGTATGCATGATAGTTTTAACGCTCAATGTACTTGTATTATACAATCAAAGCCCGCCATAGAACATTTATTCTGATGACCTAGTGGCCTGACGCTACACACCCGTACGGGCTTGCGCAACAAAGCAGGATCGGCTTATCGGGGTTTCGTACCCTTGGCTCGATCCGATTATGATCCTCGGTTTGTTCATAGCATACCCTCGCTGATTTCGCGAAGGTAGGTAACTGTATACTTTTTTTCTTTCTTTCATATTAGGCTTACATATCGTAATATGCTTGTTATACTTCAAAGCGGGATTAGAGAAGCTCTTCCATCAACTGCTTGTAAGAGGCGGCTAATCGGGTGGTCAGCTAATCGCTGACGTGGTTGACACATGTCATCGGTTCCCAATTGCGTAGATCGATGCTCATGCTGTTGATCACTGGATTGCCATGTCCAGACTCGATTATTTACAGACCGCCGCCATGTAGCTGGAATGTTGCTGATTGCGGAGTAAAACTAAACTCACTCACTCACTCTGCTTGTATCTTCAGATTGGGAGAAGAGGGCGTCTCCACTCTGCTCTGGGACCACGTTCAGCGCGGAGAAGACGTGGCGAGGAGGAAGGTGAGGCAGACGTTCTCTGAAACCTTATATACTGCAATACACACGTGTTTGATGCAAACCGAAAGTGAGCTAAACGGGCTATGGTTGTTCCACGGTGTATCTGATACGGGTATGACAGTGGTGCTTAAAATCAGTAATTCGGCAACTCCTTTCAGCCTTGTAGCTTAGTAACGTTTTCATTAAGTCAACGAACATTTTGAAGGGTTTGCTTTCTTTTTCACGTCAGTTTAGTCATGTTTACTGGATTCTTTTGACCTGAGGTGACGTGAAATTGGGTTTTACGTCGTGCTTGAGAATATTTCGCTCATATGATGACGTGCATGCGTGTGTATGTGTATGTGCGGCTGCTTGTACTAGCCCAGACTTAAGCTGGTTTTATAGTGCTAGCCCACTGAGATACCATGCCGCAGTGAAGCATGAATACCCCACTCAGACACATTATACTGACTCCGAGCCGACCAGTCCTTGTTGTACCCATTAATGCCGAGCGCCAGGCAGGGACCAACAAGTACCATATTTTAACGTCTTTTGGTATGACGCGGTCGGGGATCGAACCCGCGACCTTCCGCTCTCCGGTGGATTCTTTTGAAAGAAAGTATGCACACATGTTTGATGGAAGCCGAAAGTGAGCTAAACAAGACATGATTATTCGACAGTGTATTTGGTACGGGTATCACAATGGTGTTGGGGCAGTGGGGTAGCCTAGTGGTTAAAGCGTCCGCTCATCACGCCAAAGAACCGGGTTCGATTCCCCACATGGGTACAATATGTGAAGCCACATTTCTTGTGTCCCCCGCCGTGATATTGCTGGAATATTGTTAAAGCGGTGTGAAACCATACTCACTCACTCACTCTGTGGTGTTTAGAATCAATAATTCGGCGACTTTTTTCAGCCTAGTAACATTTTCATTTTTTCGTCAACGGAATTGTTAAAGTGTATACTTTATTTTTTCACGTCAGTATAATTATTGTTTACTAGGCTTCTCATAGAGCGACTGGAATATAGACCGTTTCGATTCATCGTGCATTTTTTAAAGTTATTAATCTATTTATTGACATAAAGAATTAGGCCATGGGTTGATTGTAAGAAATTGTGATATCATTTCCACGTTTAGTGATTTTTAGAACCAATGAAGTATTGATATCGCCGACTCAAACATTTGATATGAAAAAATAATAATTCTACACTCCATTGTTTAGTTTAACCATACCTTAATTGAGATATCAATTATCCTTGTTCGTGTTGTGTACAACACACATTACAGAGTGTAGCTATTGACTCAGTATTCTGAGATATAAATCAATCTTTTGTTGAGTTTGCCGTCGACCATGTGCAATGATATGGTCTGTTCTAAGATATCAAGCAATCATGTGAGGAAAAGAATTAATGAGGTTTTACCTCTCACAAATTCACGATCGGTTTATGCAATGGAGTGTGATTATATTTTAGTGTGACATTGTGTAACCACTCCTTGGGCGACTCTACTTGTGTTTGTAGAGCTAGAGATTGTGCTTGTATTTCTGCTTATACAGGTTGGGCTAACGTCAGTTGAAATAAGGGTTGTGCTTGTATTTCTACGTATACAGGTTGGGCTAACGTTAGTAGAAATAAGGGTTGTGCTTGTATTTCTACATATACAGGTTGGGCTAACGTCAGCAGAAATAAGGATTGTGCTTGTATTTCTACATATACAGGCTGGGCTAACGTCAGTAGAAATAAGGATTGTGCTTGTATTTCCACATATACAGGTTGGGCTAACGTTAGTAGAAATAAGGGTTGTGCTTGTATTTCTACATATACAGGCTGGGCTAACGGTAGTAGAAATAAGGGTTGTGCTTGTATTTCTACATATACAGGTTGGGCTAACGTCAGTAGAAATAAGGATTGTGCTTGTATTTCTACATATACAGGTTGGGCTAATGGTAGTAGAAATAAGGGTTGTGCTTGTTTTTCTACATATACAGGTTGGGCTAACGTTAGTAGAAATAAGGATTGTGCTTGCATTTCTGCTTATACAGGTTGGGCTAACGTCAGTAGAAATAAGGGTTGTGCTTGTATTTCTACATATACAGGTTTGGCTAAAGTTAGTAGAAATAAGGGTTATGCTTGTATTTCTACATATACATGTTGGGCTAACGTCAGTAGAAATAAGGGTAGTGCTTGTATTTCTACATATACAGGTTTGGCTAACGTCAGTAGAAATAAGGGTAGTGCTTGTATTTCTACATATACAGGTTGGGCTAACGTCAGTAGAAATAAGGGTTGTGCTTGTATTTCTACATATACAGGTTGGGCTAACGTTAGTAGAAATAAGGGTTGTGCTTGTATTTCTACATATACAGGTTGGGCTAACGTCAGTAGAAATAAGGGTTGTGCTTGTATTTCTACATATACAGGTTGGGCTAACGTCAGTAGAAATAAGGATTGTGCTTGTATTTCTACATATACAGGTTGGGCTAACGTTAGTAGAAATAAGGGTTGTGCTTGTATTTCTACATATACAGGTTGGGCTAACGTTAGTAGAAATAAGGGTTGTGCTTGTATTTCTACATATACAGGTTGGGCTAACGTTAGTAGAAATAAGGGTTGTGCTTGTATTTCTACATACACAGGTTGGGCTATCGTCAGTAGAAATAAGGGTTGTGCTTGTATTTCTACATACACAGGTTGGGCTAACGTTAGTAGAAATAAGGGTTGTGCTTGTATTTCTACATACACAGGTTGGGCTAACGTCAGTAGAAATAAGAGTAGTGCTTGTATTTCTACATATACAGGTTGGGCTAACGTCAGTAGAAATAAGGATTGTGCTTCAATTTCTACATATACAGGTTGGGCTAACGTCAGTAGAAATAAGGGTTGTGCTTGTATTTCTACATATACAGGTTGGGCTAACGTCAGTAGAAATAAGGATTGTGCTTGTATTTCTACATACACAGGTTGGGTAACGTTAGTAGAAATAAGGGTTGTGCTTGTATTTCTACATACACAGGTTGGGCTAACGTTAGTAGAAATAAGGGTTGTGCTTGTATTTCTACATATACAGGTTGGGCTAACGTCAGTAGAAATAAGGGTTGTGCTTGTATTTCTACATATACAGGTTGGGCTAACGACAGTAGAAATAAGGGTTGTGCTTGTATTTCTACATATACAGGTTGGGTTAACGTCAGTAGAAATAAGGATTGTGCTTGTATTTCTACATATACAGGTTTGGCTAACGTTAGTAGAAATAAGGGTTGTGCTTGTGTTGTAAAGATAAGAGTTGTGTTTGTATTAGTACAGATACATATTGTGGTTGTATTCCTACAGATACAGGTGGTACTTTTGTAAAGGATTCTACTTGTATTCATACAAATATGACTTGTGTTTCTATTTGTACAGATAGGGGCCTATTCGTATTCGTACAAAATATATTTCTGTTTGTGTTTGAACAGATACTCTATTTTTGATAGGGGCGGTGGGGTAGCCTAGTGGTTAAAGCGTTCTCTCGTCACGCCGAAGACCCGGGTTCGATTCCCCACATGGGTACAATGTGTGAAGTCTATTTCTGGTGTCCCCCGCCGTGATATTGCTGGAATATTGCTAAAAGCGACGTAAAACCATACTCAGTCAGATAAGGGATGTGCTGGTATTATAGATATAAAGGCTGTGCTTTTGTTGGTACAGATAAGACATGTGCCTGTACAAAGGCTGCGCTTGTACATATTCAGATAAAAGGTTGTCGTTGTATATATTCAGATAAAAGGTGCTTGTATATATTCAGATACAATGTTGTGCTTGTATATATTCAGATAAAAGGTTGTGCTTGTATATATTCAGATAAAAGGTTGTCCTTATATATATTCAGATAAAAGGTTGTGCTTGTATATATTCAGATAAAAGGTTGTGCTTGTATATATTCAGATAAAAGGTTGTGCAGTATAATTCAGATAAAAGGTTGTGCTTGTATATATTCAGATAAAAGGTTGTGCTTGTATATATTCAGATAAAAGGTTGTGCTTGTATATATTCAGATAAAAGGTTGTGCTTGTATATATTCAGATAAAAGGTTGTGCTTGTATATATTCAGATAAAAGGTTGTGCTTGTATATATTCAGATAAAAGGTTGTGCTTGTATATATTCAGATAAAAGGTTGTGCTTGTATACATGCAGATAAAGGTTGTGCTTGTATACATTCAGATAAAAGGTTGTGCTTGTATATATTCAGATGGAAGGTTGTGCTTGTATATGTTCAGATAAAAGGTTGTCGCATATATTCAGATAAAAGGTTGTGCCTCTATGTTTACAGAGAAAGGTTGTGCTTGAATATATTCAGATAAAAGGTTGTGCTTGTATGTATTCAGATAAAAGGTTGTGCTTGTATATATTCAGATAAAAGGTTGTGCTTGTATATATTCAGATAAAAGGTTGTGCTTGTACATATTCAGATAAAAGGTTGTGCTTGTATATATTCAGATAAAAGGTTGTGCTTGTATATATTCAGATAAAGGTTGTGCTTGTATATATTCAGTTAAAAGGTTGTCGTTGTATATATTCAGATAAGACCTTTCCGTGTATTTATACAAATAAAGGTTCGGCTTGTATTAGTGCAGGTAGGGATGCACATGTATTTGTGCAGACAAGGGCTGTGCTGGTATTATAGAAACAAAGGGTGTGTTTGTATTTGTACAGATAAGGGCCCTGAGACGGTGGACCCGGAAGAGAAGCTTGCCCTGCTGTTGACAGAAGCCCTGGCTGACCACAGCCGACAGAGACTGAGGGCAACACACATGAGCCTCCGGCGATATGGATCTGTGGAGAACCGAGTCTCCCCGAAGGACCTCCAACAAGCGTTCACGGTAAGATGCTTGTGCATAGAGGCCAAGGCCATTCTGTGGTTGATCCAGAGTAGAGAAAGTATCCCCGACAGACCTTCATATAGCAACCATGGTGAGATGTTCATAGATAGAGGTCAAGGTCATTCTTCGTTTGATTCCATGTGGGAAAACTGTCACCCCAAACCATCAAAGAGCAACCGCGATATATACCACTGTTACTCGGCAGTTACTTCTCTGTAGAGAACGTAGATCATGCTGTTGATCACTGGATTGTCTGGTCCAGACTCGATTATTTACAGACCGCCGCCATGTAGTTGGAATATTGCTGAGTGCGGCATAAAACTAAACTCACTCACTCACTCTGTAGAGGGGTTTTAAAACAAACAAACAAACTTCAATGACTTAAGCATTCCGAATACCTTGAACCATAGTTAGAGACCAAGGCCATGCTTAGACTGTTTACCCATGAGTGAGTGAGTGAGTTTAGCTTTTCGCCGGACTCAGTAATATTCCAGCTATATGGCGGTGTCCCCCCATGAGCCAATCAGAATAATGATCAGTTAGATGTCACATTAAGATTTCTAAAATTTAGAGGCAAATGTCCCACAATGTTAGATTCAATATGGAGAAGGAACTCAGAAATACTTAATCAATTATCGTATGGAATAAAATGCCCCATAGTTTAGAGGGCGCAGGTGGACCAATCGCCTGAGGCAACATTATTTGCACATGCAGAGTAACGTTTCTTAGGCGCGCCGGAAACCTGTGATCGTGAGTTTGAATCCCACTTCGCTCAGATTGTGGTTCTAGATTTGTGAGCACTATACCAGTGTTCTGCACCATGCTGACCGCCATGTGGACCTCAGTATTGAAATCTGTGTGTCCCTCCGTGTCGATGTTGACTTCCGCGTTGTCCTCACTAATACCCCTTATGATCACCTGTGTTGACCTCCATCTTTTCGACCTTCACCTTCCTCTGGATGTTGACCTTAAATTTGACTTCCATCCTGCCCACTGTGTTGACTTGCGCGTTGAGCTCAGTAATGGCCTTCAAGGTGACCTCCCTGTTGACCTTAGTAATGGCCTTCAAGGTGACCTCCGTGTTGACCTTAGTAATGGCCTTCAAGGTGACCTCCGTGTTGACCTTAGTAATGACCTTCAAGGTGACCTCCGTGTTGACCTTAGTAATGACCTTCAAGGTGACCTCCGTTTGGACCTCCTTCTTGTGCTCCATTTCTTCCTCCATGTTGACCTATACTTTGACCTCTTTACTGCTCACTGTGATGACCTCCGTGTTACCTTTTTGTTGACCCCATCTCGATTTCGACCTTCATATTGACCTCCATGTTGTCCTCTATACTGCCCACTGTGATGACCTCCTAGTCTCGCCCTTGCTGTGTGTTGCAGGAGAACCAGATCAAGTTCTCCCAGCGCCTGCTGCAGATGATGACGGAAATCTATGAGGACCATGGCGGCGTGGACTACGAGCGGTTGTACAAGAGCGTCATGACGGCTCATCTGAAGACAGGTGAGCTACAGCACACAAGAGTACTGCCACTCGGACAGTCAGGCACTCAGACAAACTGGACCCGTGAAGATCCGCGGCTTCCGCAACCCATGCTTGTCATAAACCAATCGAGTATGGACCAGACAATCCAGTGATCACCAGCATGAGCATCGATCTACGCAGTTGGGATACAATGACATGTGTCAGCGAGCCTGACCACCCGATCCCGTTGGTTGGCTCTTACGACAAGCATGGGTTGCCCTGATGTTCATGGGTACGTTCTGTTCAGTAAGGATGAATGCGAAGTTAAACCTCGTGTTTTATTTGTACGGCAGGTCGGGACAGTGTGAAGGCCCGCCAGATGCGCAACGACCTCACCTCCAAGCAGGAGATGTCCAAGGAGCAGCGGGACTTCGACTTCCTGTGTCGCCTGGAGGACCAGCTGATCCAGGACAGGACGTTCTTCGACATCGAGGTCCTCAGGAAGGACTTCCAGAACAAGGACACAAGCAGGACGGGGAAGATAGCCAGGGAAACGGTATGTAGGACGCGAAGAGCTTGGCGGGGGGTGTTTCTCCTGCAGTTGCTTCTAGTCTGTGTCTGTAGAGTGAGGCACCGCCTCCGTGGTGTAGTGGTTAGAGCGTCCGCCCGGAGAGCGGAAGGTCGCGGATTCGATCCCCGATCGCGTCATACCAAAAGACGTTAAAATATGGTACTTGTTAGTCCCTGCCTGGCGCTCGGCATTAATGGGTACAACAAGGACTGGTCGGCTCAGAGTCAGTATAATGTGTCTGAGTGGGGTATTCATGCTTCACTGCGGCATGGTATCTCAGTGGGCTAGCACTAAAAAACCCAGCTTAAGTCTGGGCTAGTACAAGCAGTCGCACATACCCATACACACGCATATGAGCGAAATATTCTCAAGCACGAAGTTAAACCCAATTTCACCTCACCTTACTTGTAGAGTGAGCTGTTTACTGAAGTGTCTTTTGAAGGTGTGTCTGATGTCAGATTGTCGCCATGTACAGTGTGACGTTTGCACGTGTGTGTTCTGAAGGTGTTCCTGGTGATTGTCGCCATGTAGGGTGTGATGTTTCCACGTATGTCTCCTCCAGGTGTTCCTGGTCTGTGATATGCGGACGCCACTATATGGAGCTCTGTTGAAGAACCTGCTGAAGAGATGCGACGAGGATCACGACGACATGATTAGGTGAGGCGATACGCTGAACACTCGGGTGCTGAACAATCATTTTCCATATCAAACATCAGCGTTGCTTTTTTAGAAAACTCTAAAAACAACGTCGGCGTCTCGTTAATGTTCCGGTAATTTTGTAACCATTATTTTGAATAATAACAATTATTATCAGCAGAATAACTGTGCTTGTTTCACTAAAGTGGTATATGTCGAACACCTGCATCCTTCACATTAAACAAACATGCTGTGATGTATTTGACGTACTGCTGTTCAGTGCAGGTTTTAAACCAAACTCACTCACTCACTCACTCACTCACTCACTCACTCACTCACTCACTCACTCACTCACTCACTCACTCACTCACTCACTCACTCACTCACTCACTCACTCACTCACTCACTCACTCACTCACTCACTCACTCACTCACTCACTCACTCACTCACTCACTCACTCACTCACTCACTCACTCACTCACTCACTCACTCACTCACTCACTCACTCACTCACTCACTCACTCACTCACTCACTCACTCCAGCTGGCCAGAGTTTCTCAGCTTCCTGGAAAAGTCTCAGCAGATGGCATGGCGGAGATGCCCGGAACTTGCCGAGTTACCAGAGAAGGCGAAACAGGCTGCCTTCAGCATTGCATCCAACCCCATCGAGGAACTGTCCAGTGGCGCCAAGACAAGAGTTGTCTCCCGTCTTCTAAAGAAGGTGAGTCCCAGGTCTGCTCTTCCACCTACAAGGAAAACAGGTGCCTCCGTCGACGGTACCATTTTAGTAGCATCCCTTAGGCACACCAGAAACCGGTGATTATGGGACTCGACTCGATAATGTTTCTAGGTTTGTCTCTGAGACCTGGAGACCTCTTCAGGACATTCCTCTCGTGAACATTAAGCTTAACCCTTAATTAAGATATTGATTGTTAGAAGCAGTGTGACATCTCACCTACTCACACACTCGCTCTATTATCTACAAGAGTGTTCCCCGTTGTCAGCCCAAGGCTTGTGACTGTGACCTGGCCCATTTCAGAGAATTCCCACAAGTAAACAAATATATTCACCCCGATCTTGTCCAGCTAGCACTGAGCGTTCGACCGAACGTTAGATTAACATTGACACAACGTTGTATCACTTATTCGTTCACCAAATCGGTTGACCGTTGACCCAACGTTAGTACAACGCAAAGGAACATTTGACTAAAGTAATCTGAAATCCCTGTCCAAAGTTAGCCTTTTTTTTAATCGTAAAGTGCCCAAAAGCTGTGGCTGTAGTTTCAAATCCCATTTCGCCCTAGACTGGCTTCTCCTGCTCGTGGGTTTAATCTTCCTGCTCGTGGGTTTAATCTTGTTTTTTTCTTTGTTTATTTGTTGTTTGTTGAGCAATATTCCAGCAGTATGGCGGCATGGGTTTCAACAAAATGCTAACTGTCTAAGGGATTCACCATTTAATGTTTTACTTCCATATCAAACTGATACATGTGAACTACCCCCAAGGCGATCTCATGCACTAACTTATCCATAAAAAAGGGGATGTGGTGTATCTTAGGGGTTAAAGCGTATGCACATCACGCCGAAGACTTGGGTTCGATTCCCCGCATGGATTCAAAGCGAGAACCCATTTCCTGGGCAACCACCGTGGTATTGCTGGAATATAGCGGCATAGAACCAGATTCAGTCACTGTCGCAAAACAAATTCAGACGTAAATACATCTGCAACATCACAGAATTCCCCGGGGCTGTGAGGTAGTGAAGTGGTTAAAGCGTTTACTCATCGCGATAAAGACCCGGGTTCGATTCCCCACATGGGTACAATGTGTTAAACCCATTCCTGATGTCCCCCGCCTTGATATTGCTGGACTACATTGCAAAAGCGGTGTAAAACCATATGCGTTCTCCTTCACAAAACAAATTACCCGGGGTGGTGGGGTAGCCTTGTGGTTAAAGCGTTCGTTCGTCACGCCGAAGACCCGGGTTCGATTCCCCACATGGGTACAATGTGAAGCCCATTTCTGATGTCCCCTTCCGTGATATTCCTGAACTGTTGCAAAACGCGGAGGAAAACAACGCTCTTTCACTCACAGAATTCCCCGTCGTCAAAACGGCCCCAGTGGAGCCCTGGCGTTGTTTACTCGGAACTCTAAATATATATAGGATCAATACACTGCGTAGACACAGATTGTGAAGGGGAACGTGTTGTAGACACACACTCCTGGCACATGGGTTCAATCAATGCGTGGTCCTTAATGGCTCCTCACGATGTGTCGTACAGCACGAACTTATCTCGTCAATCTACATTGAGATGATGTCTAACTTGGCTGGGGAAGTGCTGGATCAGCATGTCGAGGTTCCAGGTTCCATTCATTACATGGGTGAAATATGATCTCTCAATTTCGTGTGTACTCTGCTGTGATGTTGTTATAATACTGATAAAACCGGAGAAGTGAGTGAGTGAGTATGGTTTTACGCCGCTTTTGGCAATATTCCAGCAATATCACGGCGGAGGACACTAGAAATGGACTTCACACATTGTACCCATGTAGGGAATCGAACCCGGGTCTTCGGCGTGACGAGCCAACGCTTTAACCATTAGGCTACCCCACCGCCCCGCCGCTGGGGAAGTGCTGGATCAGCATGTCGAAGGTCCAGGTTCGATTCATTACATGGGTGAAATATGATCTCTCAATGTCGTGTGTACCAAACCGAAAACATGAGTCTCATTAACCTATTCAGACAGTGACCTACTTTTCAGACGATCCGAATTTTCTCGTGTGAAAGGGAAAATAAAAATCACAAACAACTATGGTTACACGGAATTCCAATTCCTTGTTTCATAAAAAATGGTATTTACAAATGAACTTTAGTTTTAAACTTTAATAACATCGTATTTCTAATTTTATGGCGAGGTGTAGGCAACATGACCTTAGCTAAGACGTCACAGACTGCCCCTGTTTGATGATGTCGTAAAATGATTCATAATGCATCTGGCTCACTGGTTACACCTGTTATGCGTTTTGTACGCTTATTCAGTGTAGTTTTGTAACGCACAATGTGATTGATAGAATATCGAGTCCGTACCAGACCGCCAAACGTTTCTAGCGGGAGAGCCTCGTTTTGAGATTTCCACGATTTCTGTTTGTCAGAGCTCGCTGTAAGACAGAGCACGCTACACGACATGTTTGCAAGGATTAGAAGGTGCTTAGTGTTACAATATACAAGTGCTTAGATGTATCAAATAATACTGATTAATGATTATGTATTCAGTTAAATGAATTGGTCCAAAAATTCTGGACTGGTTATTGTACTAAGTTGCGCACTAGGACGGGACCCAGTCAACAGAAAACGAGACTGTTGTGTAATCAATGTTTTCACTTTCTGCTGTGATGTTGTTATAATACTGATAAAACCCGAGAAGTGAGTGAGTGAGTATGGTTTTACGCCGCGTTTGGCAATATTCCAGCAATATCGGGGCGGAGGACACTAGAAATGGACTTCACACATTGTACCCATGTAGGGAATCGAACCCGGGTCTTCAGCGTGACGAGCGTACGCTTTAATCATTGGGCTACCCCACCGCCCCTAAACCCGGAGAAGAGCCATACTCACTCACTCACACATAAGGCCATGACAAATTTTGCACATCGGAATAAGTTTTACGCCGTTTTTAGCAATATTCCAGCAATATCACGGCGGGGGCCACCAGAAATGGGAATGAAATAGTGGACCCATGTTTGGAATCTTTGGCGGGACGAACGAACCACTGGGCTACTATTGTTCAACACACACGTCGTTGAACCGTGAGTGACTCGTAAATTAACACTTGCCAACGCCTTTTCTCACCTGAAACTGGCGGTGGGGTAGCCTAGTTCTTAAAACATTTGCTCGTCACGCAGAAAACCCGGGTTCGATTCCCCACATGGGTACAATGTGTGAAGCTCATTTTCGTCTCCCCCACCGTGATATTGCTGGAATAGTTCAAGGAGCATAAAACCTCACTCACTTTCACCTGAGAAATAACTACGCAGATCAAAACAGGATGTGCAGAACGCCAGGTGTGATTCCCCTACCTGCGTACATCGTCTACGTTCCTACATCTCCTATAATACATATGCTCGTTTCTAACTCATTTGAATAATAAAACCCACATTTCTTTCCTCTGCAGGCATCATTACAAAAAGAGAAATCCACATTGTCGACATTAAGTCGAGAGAAGTCCGTAGACGAAAGTGTTCCTCAACCAACGACAACCAATGAACAGCCAAGCTCATCCCAACCAGCCAATCAACCCTCGCCAAACACTGAACCAGCCAATCAGGAGCCAGAGCCAGATCCGGGCAAGGCAGTACCTAATAGTAAAGAGCCGGAGACCAAGGACACTTCCGTCAAACAAAGTAAGGTTTGATTAATACTTGTTTAAATCAGATTGACTACATGGACTAGTAAACTATGTAGAGACGATTCTTTATGATGCGTGCCCAAGTAACATCATTAATACAGAAACACGATTATTATTTATTTTTTTGAGGCTATCAGTCAATGTGAAACGTTCCCAACAAACTCATGGTTAGAACCGTTCTCAGAGTTCCACAAAACGATTATTTTCCCATAGACTTCTACAGTAACGTTATATTTTCCTAAAAGATAACCAGATCGTTAAGAACCATTAGATGTACATATATACACAGTGTGGCCTTAAAGCTGCAATAAAAACACAAAGTTTGGCTAGGTTAACCAATTCCTTCCCCGAGTACAGAAAGCTGAACACACCAATCCCAGTTCCGCACTTAATGTCACCTACTTGAAAATATCTCTGCACACATTCGGCATAAGTCATCGTGTTAAAACGACATCACTAAATATTGAAATAGTATGACAGTTTTAATTACTGGATGGCTGTACTGCTTGCTGTAAGCGACGACTGAGTGGATTGGGTGGTCAGCCTTGGTGGTTGTGTTGATTGCATGTCATTTTATCACCCAAAACTGTGTTCCACTGGAGATATTGCTTGTGTGAAATCATACGATATCTCCTAGGAGATATCATTTTGACAGTAGATTTGTACAATGGCCTGACAATGCTATGACGTTATGAACTTGATGACGTCACAATGCTATGACGTCGCTGCATTGCTAGTCTAATGGCAGTACCGTGTTCAGAGATGTATATTTTTCTTTGAAAACTAAAGAAGAGTGACGATAATGAGTGATGATAAACAGAATCTCACCCTCGTGTCTTCTGATATCAAATATATCAACACTCGTTGATGAAAATAGAAATATATGTGTAAGGTTATCAACTCGTGGTGATATATTTGATATCAAAAGACACTTGAGTGAGATTTTCTATGTATCCCAATGCATAGTTACAGGCCGCCGTTCTACCGCTGGAGTATAAACGGTACAGACAAAGAAAGACCTGTGAAGATGCGGGTTAGAATTGGTCTTCAGCAACCCATGTTTGTCCCCCGTGAATTAGATCCGGGTTAGAATTGATCTTCAGCAGCCCATGTTTGTCGTAAGAGGCGCAATGCATGTTTGTCGGGTGGCCAGGCTCGATGACTTGGTTGACACGTCATCGTATTCCAATTGCGTATATCGATGCTCATGATGTTGATCACTGGATTGTCTGGTCAAGACTCGATTATTTACAAACCGCCTCCAAATAGCTGGAATATTGCTGAGTGCGGCGTTAAACAACAAACAAACAAACATGCAGTTGGTGCTTTGTTAACATGTTCTTCGGTCTTGTTTAGAACTGTGTCTTTCCAACTGTTTCTCCCAGGCTTCCTCCGAGTGCGGGGCCTGATTGCATCAACTAGCCTCGTATCCACAGTCAGGGCTCTTATGAGCAGCGGTAGAACCAGCATGCTGTATAATGACATAATCTGAATAGCGCTACTGCATGCATCACAGCCCATAGTTCCACAGGAACCCTGTGTAACATGCACTTATATATAGCCAATATATACAGCCAATTAGTCTAGAATGTATACAAATGCAAATGACACATGCACTGCTTAGGCATTATAGCATGTTTAGTGCATGCCATGTAGGTAAATGAAATCCTCAGGAAGGCAGACTGTAACGACAAGCTTCTATTTGTCAGTGTTAATGCATGCATTGTGAGTATATACCGGAGAAATTGAAAGAAGTGGTGGTAAAATCCTTCCTAAATTTCAAACAATTTCCAAGCCTTGGAAATATGATATTTCCAATTTGGAATTTTTGGAAACATGATGTTTCCAATTTTGGAAAATTTTGGAAATATGATATTTCCAAATTGGAAATTTTTGGAAATCACCATTTTTTTTCTGGTGTATATAAGCGTAGCTGCAAAACGACAAGCTGCCATTGGCTAGTTATAATGCATCCATTATTGCTGTATACAAAACAGTAACGTGCTGTTGGGTAACTAACAGCAAGCCCCCATTGGCATACATTAATGCCTGCATTATTATCAGTATAAGGGCGCAACGTGAAGCTGCCTAGCTAACGACATACTCTCATGTGTTAATAATGCATGGCAGTATATAACAGCACGTGCAGTTGCCTATAACTAGAAACTCCTACTAGTTTTAATGCATGCTTTATTGTCAGTGTATAAGAGTAACGACCTGTTGCCTTTAACGACACCCGTGAAGATCCGGGTTAGAATTGGTCTTCAGTAACCCATGCTTGATGTAAGAGGCGACTAACGGGATCACGTGGTCAGACTCGCTGACTTGTCGCAGATTGATGCTCATGATGTTGATCACTGGATTGGCTGGTCCAGACTTGATTATTTACATACCTCCGCCATATAGCTGGAATATTGCTGAGTGCGGCGTTAAACAACCAACCAACCAACCAACATACCCCAGTTTTAATGCATGCTTTATTGTCAGTGTATAAGAGTAACGACCTGTTGCCTTTAACTACAAGCTCCAGTTTACTCGTATTATTTCTTTCATTGCCAGTATACAAAAGTAACTGCCTTTAACGATAAGCTCCCACTGATTAAATGCAGTGCATGTTAATAAAGCGCTGTTGCTTATAACGACAATCGGGGCGGTGGGGTAGCCTAGTGGTTAAAGCGTTGGCTCGTCACGCCGAAGACCCGGTTCTGACCATCTTCTAGTACATTGTATTTATGTTGCTGGAATATTGCTAAAAGCGGCGTAAAACCACAACTCAGTCAGTCAGTATAACGACAATCTACCGTCTTCTAGTACATTGTATTTATACATTCATTGTCAGTATATAAAAGTAACGTGTTCTTGCCTTTAACGACAGGCTCACACTGAGTAGTTTTATTGCATGCATTATTGTCAATATGTAAGTTTAGCGTACTGATGCCTATATAACGACAACCTTCCGTTGGCTTGCGCTAATGCATGCATTGCCTGTGTATTCTGAATGAGTTTGGTACCGTGAGTTTAGTTTTACGACGCTTTCAGCAATATTCCAGCAATATCACGGCGGGGGAAACCAGGAATTGTCACCAATTGTACCCATGTGGGGAATCGAACCCAGATCTTCGGCGTGACGAAGGCTTTAACCACTAGGCTACCCTACTGCCCCGTCTGTATATAAACGTAACCTGCTGCATACTACTTGACGAGAAGCTTCCACTGACAGGTGCCAGTGCACGCATGATTATTAGTTTACTCATGCAAATAATGGTTGTCACCCCCTCCCAGCCCAACCCCACACCTCACACCCCCACCCCCCTCTCCAATTAAAAATTGAAGGGGTGACAACCAATATTGGCATGACTGTGTATTGTCAAATTACTTTGCTATATATATTCATGTATATGATATTACGATATATTAGGAACTTAAGTGTTTGACAGTGAGTGACACTAATTGTGCATGTCAATCCTATTTTTCTACATTATAAGTCCCTAAACATATGTTATGGTTCTGATAACAGCAATCTCAAAAGCTTGCATAGTCAGGGATTCTATTTCCTTTTATACAATTTACAGCATTACAGTAAGCCGTTTTGTCATTGAATAAGGAAGGAAATCATTTGTTGCGAATGAAAGAATGTGTAGATTTTAATTTAAACCATGAAGATAATCACAAAACTTAATATATGTTCTTTACCCAATATACCGGCTCTCAGAAAACATATTTCAATACGTATCGTTTGAAAAGCGTATTGCAATATACCTGTATACCTGTAATACCGTGCAGTCCTAATTAGTATCATCTAATTCTAACGTGATATTGGTTATGTAACGACAAGCACCCGCAATGCATGCAATATTGTCAGTAACTACGGAAAAGGGTACACTATACCTCTAAAACTCTCTACTTAACTAGTTAGTGCCGTTAGTGTCAATGTCGTGTTATCTCCCTTTCACTAATTTTAATGCATGCATTTTTTTATCAGTCCATGCATGAATAGTATACTATTAACAGACAACACCCACTTGGCTGGGTAATGCATGCATTATGACCAAGTGGGATGGACAGTATGGGATGTGAAATTCCACATCATTTACTCTTGATATACTAACCGAAAAAAGGGGAACATGCATAGCTTTCGGTATATTTATGCAGTGAACATGTGCGCAAACTTTAATAAAATAGATCTCCTAAATATCCATGTGCCCTAACTACGTTTGTTCAGTATATATACTCTTGTAGAGCAAGTGGCAGTTGGGATAGTATTTTGTTAAAGCAACGGTCTTCACGCACGTCGTCTTGGGTTTAATTACTCATATGGGTGTGGACTGGTTTTAAGCCTGACTGGAGTACCTCGAATGATGTTGCTGGTATATTATTGCAAGAGGAATAAAACCTTTCTCACCTACTATCTGCGATATTTCAACAGTGTGGTGGCGCGATACACCAAAATATTGCTTCACATATCAGAGAAATTCATGTTTGGAATCGAACCCGGTCTGAAGGCATGACGACCGAGCACTTTAACTACGGCGCCACCCCATCGCCCCTCTCCCCGAAATATCATGTTTCCACTTGCAAAAGGTCCACCCACTCATCATGCAAAATTAATAATCAGTCGATTTCCTGGATCAATATTTTAGATTTGAAAAGATAAAAAAAGATATCAAAAGAAATTTATGACTCAGAAATTCTTATCTGTAAATGTCAAGGATGCCGTTGAAGTGTGATGTTGTTGTTGCAAGACACGTCAATACTTAGTCTACGTGAACGTTGTCCGTCAAGCACGTGTACACATCAATATCATTTGTTTACAGGTGTAATTACAAACGTTGTTGCCATGGTGATTGATGCAGCTGCACAATGAGATCTAATATTTCAAAAAATCAATTCGAATTTATTTTTTTTAAACTGCCCGACAAAAGAAAGTATACTCAAGTTTGATGCTGGCTAAAAATAAAAAATGTTACTCAATGATGACGTGTTTGATACGGGTGCCGTGGGTTGGTTTTGGACATTGACGTTATAGTGCTTCAGCCTGATAGCATTTAAAAACAAAAACAGAAAAAAAACTTTTGTAATTTGTTGGTCGAAAGAAATATTTAAGTGTCTACTTTCTTTTCCACGGCGGTTGTAAAATCGATTTTGTTCAAAGTGATGATAGCACGATTGGCGAGGTAGTAAGAAGTTGCAACTCACTGTATCCCTTACTTATCATGATCCGATGCTCGTGGGTTCGAATCTTATACCGGCCTTAAAGTGGTTTTGGCTTGAGAAACTGGGAGACAAACCTCAAGCCAAAAATTTAACTCTCGCGAAGAAATAGGAATGATTGAACTCTACAAACAATTAAATGAAATGAAACAATGATTCCGTTCTAACGCACTGGTGGAAGCTCCGGTGGCGGCGTGGGTTAGATGGCTGACCTTGCGTCCTGGCGATTAGGTGCCTTTGATGATAACATAACATTTGTTACATTACAAAGAGGTGTTGCTATGTAACATGTTAGGAATCACTCTGAATGTATCGTGACAAACAGAAGGGACTGGGAATATAATGTCATATCTTCCTACAGCGAAAAAGTCTCCGGACGACGCTCCCGCGGCGCCACCAATGATTGAAGTGGACAAGCCGTCAGACGAGGGCAGTGGTACTCCCGCCAAACAAAGCATACAAGGTTAATATATACATATATATATATATATATTTTTAAAAGAAGCTTTCTCTACCCCTTTTTAATTTGTGTAATGATATGGTATAGTTTTGTCCTAAGGCGAGTCACCGATTGCTTTGATGTCCTAATGTATAGGTCAGAGCAAAACCATCATATATATTACACGACACGACCGCGTGAGCGGGTATCTCATTGTGAACTACGCCTCTATCTATGTTTTTTTTTAATTGATTGTTTTATTCAGAAATGGCATCATGACATTACTTCAAGTAGAAAAGTATGGCTATACAGTAATATCAAACGTGAATTCGGATATGAATTATACTTAGATGCTTTACATCCAAACACATTTGGCATTTAACTATGTTACGAATTTTGTCATAAATTAAAAGTTGAAACTGGGCGTTATGAAAATATTGATCGGGAGAAAAGATACTGGATCTGCTGTAAAGAAAATAATGTAAATGTAATTGAAGATGAATACCATTTCGTTTTAATTTGCCCAAAACATACTGTACATCGAAAACAGCTTATTAAACCTTATTTTTGAAAGAAGCCAAGTATGCTGATTTTTTTACAATTAATAATTATAAGAAACCCATCCAAAGATAGCATTGCAAAAATATGTAAATACATTAAGTCATGCATGTGAGTACCAAAATGTTTTGTCCAGCCTCCTCTTGTAAATGTAAATGGATAATCATGTTCTATCCTGTATACAGTGTAAAATGATGACGAGGGGCATATAGCCCAAGTCTTTACTGAATAAAGAATCGAATCGATTGTCTATCGACTGTCATAAATTGTAACTATGGATATGTGACAAACTGGCTATTTTTAAATTTGGTATTATGGCTTTTTTATTTGCAAATAATACTGTAATGAAGACATATATATTTAAAGAAAGCCTCTTTAAACTTTGTACTAAACGTGAACTTGTGTGTGTATGCAGACTTCGTCTCGTCGCAAAATGGTTGAAATGATGCCGATGCTACGTAAAATGTCATTTCACTTCACGATGCTGAAAATGAGACTCACATTTCTTATACCATGTTTGCTCACTTTTAAGGAAGACATAAACGAGTACACAAGAGATGGATAGTCAAATTTAGGTCACCTAAATACGTCAATGTAGAATGGTCATCTGTACACGGCTATTTTCACTTTTATATTGTGTAAAAATACTTCATTAGAAGACTTGTATGTGCAAACGATCAGAAATTAATGGAATGATCGACTGATTTCCATCTTTACATCGAGGAAGTGACATTTGTCGTCTTACCAGTTACTAACATTATTATATTCCCAGGATCAACGCAAGGAGCAGTTACACCGGAACCGGAACCTCCACCGGAACCGGATATAGATGATAGCAACACACACGCAATGACCTTGGAGGTTCACGGCAAGAAGGTTAAGGTCGTTCAGCCAGAGGCATACAAAGACAGTTCTCTACCTATAGATCCACCACAAGAGAGACTGCAACTAGACTGGGTGTAAGCCTGTTTAGCGCTACCGCATGTTTTATGAAACGCCTTTTCTATCATGTAGGAATTTGTATTTCCGGCACACTATCATACCGAAGTGTCAGACAAAACATAACATTATTTGTCCTTTGAAGATATTTATATCACTGACTGAATGTTGAGATGATTCCTCGCTATAGGTGTCCAAACAACATACAATTATTGTTGTCATTAAAGAAGAAGGTTTTTCTTATCTATTGAGGTCATCGGTCCATGTATATAGAACATAACCGGTTTAAGGTCTTCAACCATACTTTGGGGCGGCGAGGTAGCCTAATGGTTAAAGTGGTCGCTCGTCACGCCAAAGACCCAGTTTTGATTCTCCACATAGGCACAATGTGTGAAGCCCATGTATGGTGTTCCCCGCCGTGATATTGCTGGAGTATTGCTAAGAGCGCGTAAAACTAAACTCACTCACTCAACCATGCTGGTCGTAAGAAGAGATTAACGGATCGGGTGGTCAGGTTCGCTTTACTTGGTTGACACATGTCATCGTATCCCAGTTGCGTAGATAGATGCTCATGCTGCCAATGTCAGTCCCTGGATTGTCTGGTCCAAACAAATAGCAGTCATGCCGCTGACCAATTGTTGAGTTAGGCGTTCAACGACAACAAAAAGAGGAAGAAACAAAACCAAAAACGAAATAAGCAGTTGTGAAGTACATTGTGTAAAGGAACAAAATGAAAACATTAATACATTTCACTAACATAAACGCAAAATGTAATATTTACGTTCGTTTGGAAACCGATCCCAATCCATGGGGCAGTGTTTGCCCTTAATCCTGAAAAGCCGCAGGCCCTAAGGACCCAGAACAATAAAAAGTTCTTGGTCCTGATCAGAATGTGTAGGCCCTATATTTTAGCTGCAATATACGTAATTCCCAGCAAACAAATATGTGACAACTCACAAACTGAGCTTAAGAGTTTAGTTTAAATCTAGTGACTGACAAGCCTTTATTTACAATAAAATCAACATCCATGTCAAGATCCAAGTCTTCTGAAATATCTGTAATCTAAATTGCTTCCACGAAAATGATAGTCGTTTCTCTTACATACAGCAGCTGCTGATTGAAGTAGAAATTACTGAATGAAAAAAAAATAATCTTAGTTTTTCGGACGAAAAAGCTGTCGGCCATTAGGACCTGCAGAAAACAAAAGCTGTGGGTCCGAGTGTTCTTCAGTTGGCTTTGGGCCTAAGGACCGACGTTTATTTCGAACGCTGGCATGGGGTGTGTATGTTTCTTAGTACGTCAGTATATCAAACTAGTGGTTGGAAAAGAATGTTCTGACAAAAGCTATCGTTATCTTTATTATTTAGGTATGGTTACCGTGGCAACGACTGTCGATGTAACATCTACATCCTGGACAACGACGAAATAATCTACTTCATATCCAACATCGCCGTCATGTACAACCGTGACGCCCACACACAGCGCCACTACAAGGAGCACACGGAGGACATCAAGTGGTCAGTAGAGCCTCAATTGTTTATTTGATTTTCCCGAAAGCAGTAAGTTGATTCAAAAAGGTTAACCGGAAATCAGTCGGAAAAGAATTAGGTGTAAAACCATCAAACAATAAAGAGATGTGTTGTAAATTACGTCATATAGATAAAATATGTGTAAGTGCGATATTAAATAGATTAAACATGTCTAATTTCAGAAATAATAAATGCTCTGAGTATTAAAAAAATATATTTAAAAAATACAATATAACATAGGTCCGTTCAATAGATATATATTCAAACGTATAATACAATATAATATGGCTTCAGGTTTTCGTTTGTTCCGTCCACGAGTTAAAAAGTTAAAAGTAAATATAATATGACATGGCTTCATATTTTCTGTTCCACCCACGAGATATAAACAGTTGATATATATCAAAATATAATACAATATACCAGTGTATGAAATAAGGCCCGTCCGACAGCCCGAGACAGGCTAGATTTCTGCCGGACGGTCTAATTTTAAAGCTAGCCAGCCCGATGGACGTGTGAAAACAAATATTCAGATAATGTGTCCACTGGCACTGTCTATTTAATATTTAAGAAGGACTGGTTAAATCTCTTCTGGGCTCGTAAGTTTTTGAAGTTACCAGCCCAGATGTCTGGCTGTGTTTTTGGCTTATTTCATACACTGAATATACCATGACTTCCGATGACGTTATTCCTCATATTGCAGCATGGCTGTCCATTCCAACGGCAACGTAGTAGCCACCGGACAGTTTGCCGGGAAGAAAGGTGACAAGTCGCAGGTCAGTAATGAATTGACCATTCTGAGGACAACATGACAAGTGGGTAAAGCGTTTGCTTATCATGAATAGAATGGCCTAATGCCTGCTGTAATGATAATCGTGGAATATTGCCAATGTTTCAAGGAACGTGAATCCGTGCATCCTTTGTTCTTCCCCACTCTTAAAAAAAATACACCCAAAAGACACTTTTACCTTAATCGCCGTAAATACAATCACTCCCTCAAACACTCGCTAACCTTAGCTTCATCGGTTTTCCAGCGGGTAAGACACATGCGCCTGTGCTACAGCAGTTATGGTATGGTACCTACATTTCATGGGATGTTACTGGTCAGGCTCTGCAAGTCCTTGACACCGACAAAGTGCCCATAATATAAATAATTGGTTAATCAAACCGAAAGATGAGTCTCATTAACCTATTCAGACAATTACCTACTTTTCAGTAACAACTATGGTTACACTGAATTCCAATTTCTTGTTTCATGAGAAAATGGTGTATACACATGAATTTTAATTTTTAACTTTAATAACATCGTATTTTTATATTTTATGGCGAGGTGTAGGCAGCATGACCTTAACTAAGACGTCACAGACTGCCCCTGTTTGATGATGTCGTAAAATCATTCACAATGCATTTGGTTCACTGGTTACACCTGTTATGTGTTTTTGCGCTTATTCAGTGTAGTTCTGTAACGCACAATGTGATTGATAGAATATCCAGTCTGTACCAGACCGCCAAACTTTTTCTAGTGGGAGAGCCTCGTTTTGAGATTTTCACGATTTCCAGGTTTCCGTTTGTCAGAGCTCGCTGTAAGACAGAGCACGCTGTACGACGTGTTTGCAAGGATTATGAGCGTAGTGTTGTAATATACAAGTGCTTAGATGTATCAAATAATACTGATTAATAATTATGTATCCAGTTAAATGAATTGGTCTCAAAATCCTGGACTGGTTATTGTACTAAGTTGCGCAATAGGACGGGACCCAGTCAATAGGAAATGAGACTGTTGTGTAATCAATGTTTTGACTTGTGGACCGAACTATTTATTAGCCGCAGTCATATAGCTGGAGTATGGCTTTAAGGAACAAACCAACCAAAATAGTTCTGGTCTGTTCTGTTGTTTCAGGCTCACATCCGGGTATGGCGTGCAGACACTCTAGGAACAGTCCATGTCCTTGGTCTCGGATCCTTCCTCAAGGCCGTCATGGCCCTTTCCTTCCAGAAGGACTCGGTAAGTTGTTGAAGATATCGGGGACAGACGTATGAACGGACGTATGGACGGACGTATGTATAATACTATGGCATCTCAGAGATAATAATACTTTAAAATTCCAGAAGGGACATTGTCGCCTGAACAAGAACAAAAAAAAAAAAACACGTGTCAAAATTGATCAAAAGCGACGATGTCATTTTTAGGATTTCATGCAACACAGACACATGTAGATACACTATAGTGAGTTAGTGAGTGAGTTGGGTTTACTCCGCTTTTTGCAATATTCCAGCAATATCACGTCGGGGGACACCATACGTGGGATTCACACATTGTGCCCATGTGGGGATTCGAACCCGGGTCGTCAGTGTGACGAGCCGACGCTTTAACCATTAGGCTACCCCATCGCCCCAGATACACTATAAGATGTGGACATTTGACCTAATGTACTGTAAACGACGTTTGTAACGAATTGACGGATATAACAAACTGTTTTTGACCCGACCACTGTTCTTAGTCAAAATGTGTATAACGAACAACGGTTGTAACGAAGAAAATATTATACCGTAGTTTACTACTGTAACAATACTTATCTAAAATCTCTTTGACTTGTGGAACATTATGATGGGTTTAACCGCCAAACCCACCCGTAGCCCCCTCTTTGATTCTTTGAGATACTAGTAGATGATACAGACGGGCGTAACAGGCTTGTTGTAGTTCATACCCGTGAAGATCCGGGTTAGAATTGGTCTTCAGTAACCAATGTTTGTCGTAAAAGGCGACTAACGGGTGGTGAGACTTGCTAACTTGGTTGACACATCCCATTTGCGTAAATCAATGCTCATTCTGTTGATCACTGGATTATCTGGTCCAGACTTGATTGGAAAGGAGGATCGTAATATACACTGTGTGAGTTCACATTCGGGGCTACGAAACAATCTCTTGGTGTGGAGTGTTTGTGAGATCCTTGTGTAGAATGTTACATTCTTACCTAAGATGAAAGCCAGGACCCTGAGGGTTGCGAGGTGACCTTGACTTTGAGCGTTATGAGGCCACCTTGGTATTCACGTTTGCAATGTGACTTTGAACGCGAACATTATGAGCCGACCTTGGTAATCAGTGTTGCGATATGACCTTGATATGACCTTTGTGACCTTTTCAACTTCCAGGATCTGCTTGCGGCGGTGGACAACAGTCAGGAGAAGACGCTGTCATTGTGGAACGTGGCAGACGGCACCCACGTGGCCAGCACCGTGGTACGTCCGCCTTAATTCCTTGAGTTTATCTTTACGTTTCTGACCGTTTAATGCCTAATTAACTCCACATGATAATTAAATAAGATCCTTCCTGGTGTAGTAAGTAGAGCATCTACCAGTAAGGTCGAAGGTTGGCGGTTCGACCCCGGACGGATGTTAAAAAAGCACGTGATTAACCAAGGACTGGCCGGCTTGTATTCAGTGTGTGTGGGATAGCTAGTTAAATCGTAGCAAAGTATTTCACTTGCTTAGATGTATGAAACCGGCATAGATCCGAACTAGTACAAGCAGCTACACATACACACGCGTGCATACAATTGCGATAGGCATAGCTGGGTTTGAGACCAATACGATAGAGCTGACACCAAATTTGACGTCACTTATAACGAATTGCCCCGGAGTACTTATCGCCTTAGAATAAAGATACGATACACTTAATTGCCCAAAAGCATATATCGCTATACAGAGGTACAGATAAGCTGTGTATCTGCGTAAATTATGTAAATATTTATGTAAAAACTCAATTCCTACTAAGTCTATTGCGTACAAGTACGCTTGAATTTTGGTAAATACTCAATAAATGTGATCTTACATGCGTACATACAAAATTGTCAAATCTTCGCTTGCGTACCGGCGGATAGGTATAACTGAGGTATTTTTAAAATTAATGGAAAATGGCAAAATATCTAATTGAGTTTGAGTGAGGTGAGTACAATTTATTTGGTTACTCAAAGGAAAATTAGGACACCCAATTGAGATGAACACAAGCGAGTACATAACTCAATGACCCAAAACGTTATCTGTATCTCTGGGCTATAGAATAAAGATACAATGGAAACAACCATCTGCCCCGTAGCATATATCGCTATAAAATAATGATACAATACACCCATCTGCCCCATAGCATATATCGCTATAGAATAAAGATACAATACACCCATCTGCCCCATTGCATATATCGCTATAGAATAAAGATACAATAAACCCATCTGCCCCATAGCATATATCGCTATAGAATAAAGATACAATACACCCATCTGCCCCATAGCATATATCGCTATAGAATAAAGATACAATACACCCATCTGCCCCATAGCATATATCGCTATAGAATAAAGATACAATACACCCATCTGCCCCATAGCATATATCGCTATAGAATAAAGATACAATACACCCATCTGCCCCATAGCATATATCGTTATAGAATAAAGATACAATACACCCACCTACCCCATAGCATATATCGGTATACAATAAAGATACAATACACCCATCTGCCCCATAGCATATATCGCTATAGAATAAAGATACAATACACCCATCTGCCCCATAGCATATATCGCTATAAAATAATGATACAATACACCCATCTGCCCCATAGCATATATCGCTATAGAATAAAGATACAATACACCCATCTGCCCCATTGCATATATCGCTATAGAATAAAGATACAATAAACCCATCTGCCCCATAGCATATATCGCTATAGAATAAAGATACAATACACCCATCTGCCCCATAGCATATATCGTTATAGAATAAAGATACAATACACCCATCTGCCCCATAGCATATATCGCTATAGAATAAAGATACAATACACCCATCTGCCCCATAGCATATATCGCTATAGAATAAAGATACAATACACCCATCTGCCCCATAGCATATATCGTTATAGAATAAAGATACAATACACCCACCTACCCCATAGCATATATCGGTATACAATAAAGATACAATACACCCGTCTGCCCCATAGCATATATCGCTATAGAATAAAGATACAATACACCCATCTGCCCCATAGCATATATCGCTATCGAATAAAGATACAATACACCCATCTGCCCCATAGCATATATCGGTATACAATAAAGATACAATACATCCATCTGCCCCATAGCATATATCGCTATAGAATAAAGATACAATAAACCCATCTGCCCCATAGCATATATCGCTATAGAATATAGATCCAATACACCCATCTGCCCCATAGCATATATCGCTATAGAATAAAGATACAATACACCCATCTGCCCCATAGCATATATCGCTATAGAATAAAGATACAATACACCCATCTGCCCCATAGCTTATATCGGTATACAATAAAGATACAATACACCCATCTGCCCCATAGCATATATCGCTATAGAATAAAGATACAATACACCCATCTGCCCCGTAGCATATATCGCTATAGAATAAGATACAATACACCCATCTGCCCAAAAGCATATGTCGGTATACAATAAATATATAATCCACCTAAACTATTTGAATGACATTTAGAATTGATACACATGAAGGTGGAAAAGGTATGTTTCGGAGCACATTCTTACTACTTTAACAGGTACTTCCTTTACGATAAGGGAGTAAGAATGTACTTCGAAACGTTTTGTGCCACATATTATAGAAGTTGACATCTGTACACTACAGTTATATCTAACCGTGAGAAACTGTCACATGCTTTCTACTGACACACAGAAGTACTGAGAACTAGGGGGACCTAGTGATTAAAGCATTCGTTCATCACACCGAATACCCGGGTTTGATTCCCCACATGGGTACAATATGTGAAGCCCATTTCTGGTGTCCCCTTCCGTGATATTGCTAAAAGCGGCGTATAACTTAACTCACTCACTCACTCTTGCAGCTTCACGTGGACGTCATCTGCGACATCGGCTTCAACCCTCATCACACCGACTTGTTGGTGTCTATTGGCAAGGAACATCTCGCCTGGTGGAAGGTCTATCCCCAGAGTAATAAAATAACCACACACGCCAAACCGGAGTACGACGTAAGTTATCGATGTTGTCAGATATTATAAGTTGTTCACTGGTCTCGAGGGGGACATGGGCTGATGTACCCTCGATGGTTGTTTATGTAACATAAAGAAAAATCGAGGGTACATCAACCCATGGGCTCGGGGGACCAGTGAACCATAGGCCCCCACTGCGGGTCAGAAAAGCGATAAACTAAGCCCCGGTTTAGTATCCACACACCCTACTATATTATAATACATATGGGGGGCCTATGCAGTGAACAACACATGGTTAGATTTCCTTACGTACCCCCCACCTATTTTTTTAAAAAAATACAAAGATATACAAGTAATGAAAAGTACCTTATAAAATAGGGGGGTACGTAAGGAACTCTTTCCCAACGTTTTTATCTTACCGAACACCTCAAAGGTAATTTTGAACTGTTAGAAGCACGGATATCGGGTCATAATGTGGAGTACCAGAAGACAAGACGACAAGAAAAACAAATTTAGAGTTATCTCCCTTCCATCGATTTGCATTCGCAAAACATCGGTAATTTCCGTAAATCATACGTGATTCTATGTTATTCGTGATAAAGAATTACTACTACGAAGTTCCAAATGAGTTCGGCATTCCCAGCGGGGTACACGGAAAATGTTGCTCGCTTGTAAGCGGGGTACATTGAAAATAGTAGAAGACCGCTCAGCAAATCAGAAAACGGCGTATATGTGTGAGGTAAGATAAAGATCCATATTCATGTGCGTTTCCAAGCGTGTAGTAAGAGGCGACTAACGGGATCGGGTGGTCAGGCTCGCTGACTTGGTTGACATCGTATCCCAATTGCGTAGATCGATGCTCATGTGGTTGATCACTGGATTGTTGGAGCTGGAATAATGCCAAGTGCGGCGTTAAACAACCAACCAACCAATCATGTGCGTTTCGAGTTAATCTCAGCCAGCTGTTCTTCTGTGAGACCCAAACGAGCAGCAACCCTTTCTGTGATATACTCATTTTGACATATAATTTCTTAAGCATCAAACAGAAAATATAATGTGGTAATTTCTCAAGATGTCCACTGCCGCCACCATAGGCAAAAATGCTATATAGTCCGTATTTGTATAGTGTAAATATTGCATTCTTGTATGATAACATTCCTGTCTGATCTGGGTCACCCTGACCTGACAGGTGGATAATTGCTCATGCTATCGATCACTTATCAGGCATAGGCGGATACAGAGGGGTGCAGGAAAGGTGCGTAACCCCAACCTTTTGTCCTGAAAGGTTATTAAGTGACCCTTGAAACTCTCGTGAAAACGGGTGAAAATGAAATGTGCACCCCTCATTTCTCAAAAAACTGTATCCACCCCTGTGATGATGATCAATAACCCGGTATATGGTGTAGCAGGGCGTGGAGTCATCCCACAGATGACATCCTTACCTTGTCAGCTTGCTGACGGGGTTGACCTCTTTGGTCATGTGGACAAGGCGTCCGACTTCGGAATAGAAGGTTCGTGGTTCGAATCCCAGCACGGGACTCGGAAATTTTATGGCCGCTACATTGGCACCCAACGTGGGGCTGAGCACGTTCATATCAAATTTGAGTAAAATAAGTGTCAGTACCCAACTATGCGGCTCGGGACGTGCCTTCTGTTGACGGGGGAGTATGTAGCAGGGCGTGGAGTCATCCCACAGATGACATCCTTACCTTGTCAGCTTGCTGACGGGGTTAACCTCTTTGGTCATGTGGACAAGGCGTCCGACTTCGGAATAGAAGGTTCGTGGTTCGAATCCCAGCACGGGACTCGGAAATTTTATGGCCGCTACATATGGTATCATACGGGTTGGATGTTTCCTTTTGTTACTGTTTCATTGTCCCTTTGTAATTTTGAGCAATATAACATTCCTTGACATAGATAGGTCATGTCTGTACTTACGAAATGCGTGTGTCCTTGTCTGTAGAATTACCTCCGGGCCAAGTTCGTCATATGCCTGACCCACACAGACAAAGGAGACCTAGTCACCGGCGACTCCAACGGCACCATCTACGTCTGGGGGGACGGCGGCAACAAGATCACCAACTTCGTCAAACATGGACATGATGTAGGTGCAGTCACCGATACCAGCCGGTTACGACGAAGCTATAGTCCGTTTGGGTTCAAATGAGAACGACAAATGATTAAATAACTCGAAATTGGGATAAGTGCACAAAACATAAATAAGACACATAGTCCTGAAAACTAAGTTTTGCCCGATCTAACGAGTAAACATGCTTTTCTGGATATCCTATTACACATCCCACTGAAAGCCCAGTTAGGCCGATGTGGGTTATTTCGATATATGCTATTTGCAATTGTGTAAATTTTATGGATACAGAGTAACAGTCTAAAAACGGTTTTCCCCCCCAATTTCCGACAGTACTTTAGTACTAAGATAGTGTTGTGAAACAGCAGACACTGTGATCACCCTACATGCTTCCGGTTACTGCGAACCCACTGAAGGCCCGGGTTTGAAATCGTCTTTAGCAACCGATGCGTGTCATAAGAGCAGACTAAATAGATCTGGTTAATGGTTGAAGCATCGTATTCTAAATTTTAGATCCAATCTCTGGATTGTCTGTTCCGATTTCTTACAAACTGCTGCCATCTAGCTGGAATGTTGCTAAGCGCTGTGTTAAAGAAAAAACTGATACAGGCATGAAAAGGTAAGTTGTGGTTATTCTGGTATCAGTATGACATGGTTGACCAGAGGTGTCTTGGGGTGAACAGTACAACACATCCAGCCCGAACCAAACCTCCAATCGCGTCCCTACCCCGGCCTCCGCCTCCAACCACAACTACAACCCCACTTCTAACCCAACCCCATCCACACCTCCAACCCCATCTCCAACACAATCCCCAACCACACCTCCAACCTGAACGCCAACCTCCAATCCCACAACGCCCATTCCCATTTCCATCCCCATGCCCACTTGTAACCTCACCCTCATCTAACATCCAAACCCAACCACACCTCGAACCCCAGCCGGACTTCTAACCCCGACTCCATCCCAAACCCCATCCCGAGCAACATCCCCAACCACACCTCCATCATCCCCACCCAACATACGATGGTTAAGTGGTCGAGGGCATTGTCAGAGTTTGCTCCCGTGTTTGCAGGGCCCTGTGTTCGCAGTGCTGTATCACCGCCACCACCTGATGTCAGGAGGGAGAGACGGGGTCATGAACAGCTGGCAGTGGACCAAGAACATGGACAATGCCGGGAAAATCGAGGTAACACTATACTCTTTCCCTCCAGTTGTACTATATGAACAGGGAAAGGGGTCACTTTCTGAACCAGCTATACACTTTGTCTCAACCCATTGTACTATATGAACATTGAATAGGTTCACTTTCTGGACCAGCTTAGTCTAGTGGAATGAGTGTTTGCCTGTCAAGCCGTGATTCCAGGGTTCGGTTCGGTTCCTCATACTGGCACATTGTACATGGTCCTGGCTCCCACTGTGAAATTTTGTCATAAAGCGGCGAAAAATGTCATGAATTAAATACTCTTAAAAACGGTCTGGATCGTCTCACATTGTGTAAGTATGGGTCACCTGTCAATTTGTTCAATGGACTTTAAGGTGGGATAACCGCAAGAGGATCTCGTTTGGAGAGCCTGATAAAAATTGAATCGCTGAAACATAATTAACCATTCTCCATGGGTAATGTTCGGTAATTGCTGTTGCCAAATGTGTATACTTAAGTGAGTCTATCACACACAACCCTTTAACAAACCCTACACGTGTTGCAGATCTCCAAGTCGGAGGGCGGGGTCAGGATGATTCAACTTCACAAGGAGACGCTTCTCATAGGAACTACCATGAATTCCTTGTTGTCCGTGGTCATGGCAGACAAAGGGTCCCCGCTAGTTGGCGCTACACTTGACATGTTGCCCCTTACACAGGTAAACTATTTTTGTATATCAAAAATGCAAAACCACTATCATACTTGTCAAGCACTAGAGAGTTGTCCCAGTTATAGAAATGTTGACCGGTAAGAACATGTTTTAATCTTGTCAAATAGTTGAGATTATTCCCTGGGAAGAAATATGACACGATGATGTCAATGATCTCTCACTCGGTGTTTTTTCCTAAATGCATTCATACCGCTCTTCCTTAACTACAGTTCAGACAATATTACTTTTTTCACTACGCTAGAGTAGAGCAGATCTTCATTTCTTAAATACTTGGGATAACTGCAGTTTGTTGTACAATTTTATATTGACTGTTTTCAGTTAAATGTTACGTCAAACATGGGGATTGAAATTCAGCTGGCGTTAGAGCAAAAACAATAACAATAACACTAGAGCGACAACACCGTAATTAAATCTCCCAATAAATAATAATAGAGCCGATTGTAGATTACAGGTAACACATGTACATGCATCTCCACCCAATAGTGATGATACAACGTATTCGCAAAAAGCCTCTCACCGGTGGCACACGTCACAAACACACGCAAAGCCAGACAAATGTTCACCTGAAAAGGCGGTGGGGTAGCCTAGTGGTTAAAGCGTTGGCTCGTCACGCCGAAGACCCGGGTTCGAATCCCCACATGGGTACAATGTGTGAAGCCCATTTCTGGTGTCCCCCGCCGTGATGTTGCTGGAATATTGCTAAAAGCGGCGTAAAACCATACTCAGTCAGTCAGTCAGTCAGTTCACCTGAAAACTAACACAGGAAATAGGGTACAATTCGAAAAAGGGAATTTCACTGGGCACAATTATTGTCACTCATCCGAATGTCTATCAAAAAACGTTTCGAAAGCTTTTCGGATGTTGAATGGTGGATGCTGATGTTAACACTGACATTAACATTAACAACTCTTGAGTAAGAGTCCCTTGATGATCTTTTGTAAAAAGAGCGCGTTCGATGGCATGCATGCATGTGTGCGTGCGTGCCTGCCTGCGTGCATGTTGCAATAAAACCCTTCTGTTTCGCCTATATCGGCTTGCACATGGTGTCTCTATCACACCACGTTACAGCTGTATTGCCACGTGTTTCCATCTATAACGACACGTGTTCTATTTACCACGTGAATGTTTTAGGGACATTTTGACGAACTGCGAGGACTCACGACGATGCCGGAGTCGTTTATCGGAGCAGATTTCCTCACAGCGGGGGTGGACGGCATCATCTGCAAGTTCAACACCGAGATCCATCAACCGGTGTGGAAGATAGTGATGAAGGTAGGGCACCATTCCTCACATGGGTACAATGTGTGAAGCCCATCTCTGATGTCCGTCATATTAGTGGAATATTGCTAAAAGGGGCGTAAAACCTCACTCACTCACTCATGTACAGAGGTATTTTAACACCGTAAAACTTCACTCACTCACTCATGTACAGAGGTATTTTAACACTGTAATGTGTCAGCTTTTTATCAATATATAGCATCACTATGTACTGTAAGATGAGTAGGGGCGGTGGGGTAGCCTAGTGGTTAAAGCGTTGGCTCGTCACGCCGAAGACCCGGGTTCGAATCCCCACATGGGTACAATGTGTGAAGCCCATTTCTGGTGTCCCCCCGCCGTGATGTTGCTGGAATATTGCTAAAAGCGGCGTAAAACTCAGTCAGTCAGTAAGATGAGTAAGGGTATATTCAGGTACAGGTATGTTAACGGAGTGAGGTGCCAGTATTTCAAAGTTATGATCAGGTATGTTTACGAAATTAAGTGTCTATATTTCAAAGGTATGGTCAGGGCCTTGTTTCACAAAGCTCTCGTAAGCCTAAGATCTCGTACCTTTTCTCGTAGCATTCGTGCCTCCTATACTGTAACATATGAGGTACTAATGCTACGAGAAAAGTTACGAGAACTTAGGCTTACGAGAGCGTTGTGAAACGGGGCCCAGGTATGTTAACGCTATGACGCGTTTTTGTTCCTAGGGGGGCAACCTTCCTATGTGCAGACTGCAGCATTGACGGCAAACTCATCGTCCTAGGAACCCACGACGGCCAGTACGTTAAACAATGCAGTAATGTTACTAGCACGATATCTTGTACAATGTTAAAGTAATACATTTTACTGATCATAATCGTATATCCTGTACTTCCTGTCTATATTTTTTTCCACCGAACCGACCAACGCAGTGCCAAGTAAAAGCACAATATTTAGGTACACTCAGTTTTGTGTGTTTGATCTAGCCACGGCAGAGATAACTCTTTTAGCAATGCTTGCTTCGGATTTCGAGATGACTGTCTACTGCTTAACGGCGCACCACGCAATAATTCAGCGATAAAACAGCGGCCTGTTGATAATAGAGGAGTAGAGTCTGAACCAGACAATCCAGTGATTAATACTATGAATAACGATTACTGCGCTGGAGTGACAACAAAGCCCCCGAGCCTGACCACCGTAAGTAGTAAGTGACCCTTACGACACAGTTGTTGGTAGGGACGACATAGGCGGAACCAGAAATTTTCAAGGTGTGTGTGTGTGTGTGTGTGTGTGTGTGTGTGTGTGTGTGTGTGTGTGTGTGTGTGTTTGTTATTCAGGGGGTCCGCTAGTGCAAAACATTAACTTCAATGTGGTCTTTAGTCATTTTCAAAGGGGGGGGGGGGGGTCGAACCCCTAACCCCCCTTCTGGATCCGCCACTGGACGAGGTGTTGTGAAACAAGTGTATATATAGCAGCCTATTTGGAACCCTCCCTAGTTTAGGGCTCAACTGCTCGAAAGACGGAAGGTCGTTGGTTTGATCCCCGGCGGCGTCATACGTTAAAACATAGTACTCGTTGTTTCCCTGCCTTCATAAAATAGACTTGTCGTATGGGAGTCAGTATACTGTGTCCACAGAGTCAAACTGTGGCATGGTATCAAATTGGTCTAGCACTATAAACCAAGATCATTCCGGACATTGCAATCAGGCACGCATTCTCACACGGTCGTGTATATATGTTAAACACGACCTTAAACCCCGTTTCACCTCATTTACTAGACTGTCTCACAGTCCCTGAACCACATTATTTTCCCTTCTGACTAGCCCTACCTGCTATCCTCAAGCCCTAAATGAAGCAAGTCTCCCGAATCTCCCAACTCACCGGGGCTCCTTTTCAATTTAAATGGGATTACTTGTTAAAACTTACATATGGTCAGGGATTAAGCGTTAGTCTACTTATTCACTTGCAGCCTTGTGATACTGGGACTGGACTCGGAGGACCTGTCCGTCACGGAAGTCTGCAACAAGAAGATCTCAAAGGACAGACTGGACTCCGTCAGACTAGCTCCAGGTAAGGCTTTGTTTTAACTTCTTTAGATGGCAGGCAGAGTGAGTGAGTGAGTTAAGTTTTACGCCGCACTCAGCAATATTCCAGCTATATGGCGGCGGTCTCTGTATATAATCGAGTCTGGACCAGACAATCCAGTGATCAACAGCATAAGCATCGATCTGCGCAATTGGGAACCGATTACATGTGTCAACCAAGTCAGCGAGCCTGACCACCCGATCCCGTTAGTCGCTCTTACGACAAGCATGGGTTACTGAAGATCAATATTCTAACCCGGACCTTCACGGGCCGATGGCAGGCAGAAGCTGGTATGATGAAGAGGAACGCCTTTTATGGATAGACAACTTCTTTATTGCAAACCCGTGAAGACACGGGGTAGAATAGGTCTTCAGCAACCCATGCTTGCCCTAAAAGGCGACTATGCTTGTCGTAAGAGCCGACTAACGGGATCGGGTGGTCAGGCTCGCTGACTTGGTTGACACATGTCATCGGTTCCCAATTGCGCAGATCGATGCTCATGCTGTTGATCACTGGATTGTCTGGTCCAGACTCAATTATCTGCAGAGACCGCCGCCATATAGCCGGAATATTGCTGTGCGGCGTAAAACTTAACTCACTCACTCTTTATTGCAATAGATGCGACGTTTCGGTGTAGATGCTAACACCGTTATCAAGCAAGTGATTAATAACGGCGTTAGCATCTACACCGAAACGTCGCAATCTATTGTATGAAGAAGTTGTCTGTCCATGAAAAGTGTTTTTGAAGGGTTTGTTTGTTTGATGTTTGACGCCTGGTATGAGACTGACCACACAATCCCGTTATAGTCGCCTCTTACGACAAGCATGGGTTACTGAAGATCAATTCTAACCCGGATCTTCACGGGAAGTAGTAGTAGTAGTAGTAGTAGTAGTAGTAGTAGTAGTAGTAGTAGTAGTAGTGATTGAAAGTATGATCATACGATGACGTGTCAACCAAATCAGCGAGCCTGACCACCCGATCCCGTTAGTCGCCTCTTACGACAAGCATTGCTGAAGATCAGTTCTAATCCTGATATTTGTGGGTCTAACATGGTTGTGAACATTTTATTACTCGATCACTAAAGATAAATAATGACACGAAGGAGTTTAGAAAACTTAAGGCTGGATATGATTGATAGAGGAACTGTGGCTGTCTGTAAGGAGACAATTAGAACTGAGCTGCATGCAATGGGTTGGCAGAAAAGTCGAGGAATTCCATCACCGATCATGAAACCTGAAAAAACGGAGCGAAGGTTGAACTGATGCTAACAGCATAGAACTGGGACAATGTGATTTTCTCAGATGAAAGCTCTGTGTGGCTGTTTCCTTATACACTGAAATTCTGGACCAAACAAACTGAAAAACCTTTGTATCAGCGCCCAAAGTACAGTCCGAAATTTAACGTGTGGGGTGGCATATCTGTGTTAGGGGCAACGCCCCTCTGTGTATTTGAAGGGAATATGAACAGTGAGTGGTACACAGATATTCTCGAGGGACATTTACTTCCATCTGCTCACGTGTTCTATGGAAATGTTTCGAGTTTCCAGCAGGACAACGACCCAAAACATCCTTCAAAGCATTCACAGGCCTGGTTTCGGACCCAGAATATGAGATTATTAGATTGGCCAAGCTATAGCCCTGACCTAAATCCAATAGAAAATGTTTGGGGACTTATGAAGGAAAGTGTCAATAAGAAAAATCTGACAAATATTGCTGAAATGAAAGAAGAGGTGGTTCGATATTGGGACAGCATGGACCATGACTTTCTAACTTCTTTGATCAGTAGTATGCCCTGCCGCATTGAAGCCTGCATTGATGCCCATGGTGACTTGACAAAATATTAACTGTTCACATGTCTTGGAGTTATGTTATGCTAATATTCACTTTTAATACGTGAGTAATGAGTGAAAAAAATATAAAAATTACAATCTTTAAATTCTCAATAATTTCTGGTTGTACTGTATAAGTTAAACATTATTGAGGTACGTTATATTTTCGAGGTGCAATGAAAGTTTCAAATGTCAAATTAACATAACAGATCTTACTGACGTGTTATATCTACCTATTCATGACGTTATCTGTTATATCTACCTATGCATGACGTTCTCTGTTATATCTACCTATGCATGACGTTATCTGTTATATCTACCTATGCATGACGTTCTCTGTTATATCTACCTATGCATGACGTTATCTGTTATATCTACCTATGCATGACGTTCTCTGTTATATCTACCTATGCATGACGTTCTCTGTTATATCTACCTATGCGTGACGTTATCTGTTATATCTACCTATGCATGACGTTCTCTGTTATATCTACCTATGCATGACGTTATCGGTTATATCTACCTATGCATGACGTTATCTGTTATATCTACCTATGCATGACGTTATCTGTTATATCTACCTATGCATGACGTTATCTGTTATATCTACCTATGCATGACGTTATCTGTTATATCTACCTATGCATGACGTTCTCTGTTATATCTACCTATGCATGACGTTCTGTTTCAGACTGTGTGTCCCTGGCGGCTGGGGGTCACGACAGGGCGGTGTATATCTACTCGTTACAGGATAAGGAAGAGGGAGAGAAGTCCTGGGAAATGCTGGGCAAGTGTAAGGTGAGGCCAGAGGAAGACTTTCACCTTGGTAGTTGCCAACAGAAAAATCCAGTTTCTTTCTTCAACACGGACATGGCGGAGTATTACTTCACGTAAACGTTCCAACTGAACACATGTTTCCACTTTCCGAAGATATTCATTGAAAGGTTTTCATGGCGTGCATTAAGTTTAACCAGGTTATTTTGTGTTTAACAAAGAATGCCAATCAAAGAAGTATTTTGTGTTTGTCCGCGGTTTTATCTCGCCAACAGCTCGAACAAATCAACCCAGCTTAAACTTCATGAAGCGCCGTTCTTATTGCACCTTGCTGAATACGATTACGTGTTGAAAGGGTGAACATAGAATTTTGGTTCACTACAAGGCTTTATGTTATTTTGCCATGTGTTTACGTGTCCAACAACGGTGCCATGGTAACCTTTCTGTGCAGGGTCACCGTGGGCCGGTCACCGCCATCGACTGGTCAAGGGAGAAGGTCAAAAACACGCACCTGCTCAGGTCAAGCTCGGGGATACCAGAGCAGTTCTTCTGTAAGTTTCGTCTCTTAAAGCATTACTGTTGTCATATTGGAGTATCCACGTCAATGCATAGTGTAGTGGCTGAGAAATGAGAAATACTGGCGATAAAGCAATAGTACGACACGACATGGCGATATTGCGACACGATATTACGATATTGGGATACAGCCAAAATCGAAGAGTAGCGATAACACTACACGAAATGACGATGACAAACGTAGAGTCGGTATAACCATATCATTTAATTGTCAGTATATACTATCTATAAGTCTTTGGTGTAGCAAACATTGATGGCAACATTAACGACTCAGTTTGTGGCGTATTTTGTAAAGTAGATGTTGTGAGTAGGGACTAACCTACATCTGTAATGATTGACATAGTTGATACTGTGACGTAGGTGTAGATGTGGTCTTGTGACGTACATCTGTAATGATTGACATAGCTGATACTGTGACGTAGGTGTAGGTGTGGTCTTGTGACGTACATCTGTCATGATTGACATAGTTGATACTGTGACGTAGGTGTAGATGTGGTCTTGTGACGTACATCTGTCATGATTGACATAGTTGATACTGTGACGTAGGTGTAGATGTGGTCTTGTGACGTACATCTGTAATGATTGACATAGCTGATACTGTGACGTAGGTGTAGGTGTGGTCTTGTGACGTACATCTGTAATGACTGACATAGCTGATACTGTGACGTAGGTGTAGGTGTGGTCTTGTGACGTACATCTGTAATGATTGACATAGCTGATACTGTGACGTAGGTGTAGATGTGGTCTTGTGACGTACATCTGTAATGATTGACATAGCTGATACTGTGACGTAGGTGTAGGTGTGGTCTTGTGACGTACATCTGTAATGATTGACATAGCTGATACTGTGACGTAGGTGTAGATGTGGTCTTGTGGCGTACATCTGTAATGATTGACATAGCTGATACTGTGACGTAGGTGTAGATGTGGTCTTGTGACGTACACCTGTAATGATTGACATAGCTGATACTGTGACATAGGTGTAGATGTGGTCTTGTGACGTACATCTGTCATGATTGACATAGCTGATACTGTGACGTAGGTGTAGATGTGGTCTTGTGGCGTACATCTGTCATGATTGACATAGCTGATACTGTGACGTAGGTGTAGGTGTGGTCTTGTGACGTACATCTGTCATGATTGACATAGTTGATACTGTGACGTAGGTGTAGGTGTGGTCTTGTGACGTACATCTGTCATGATTGACATAGTTGATACTGTGACGTAGGTGTAGGTGTGGTCTTGTGGCGTACATCTGTCATGATTAACATAGCTGATACTGTGACGTAGGTGTAGATGTGGTCTTGTGACGTACATCTGTCATGATTGACATAGCTGATACTGTGACGTAGGTGTAGATGTGGTCTTGTGACGTACATCTGTCATGATTGACATAGTTGATACTGTGACGTAGGTGTAGATGTGGTCTTGTGGCGTACATCTGTCATGATTGACATAGCTGATACTGTGACGTAGGTGTAGATGTGGTCTTGTGACGTACATCTGTGATGATTGACATAGCTGATACTGTGACGTAGGTGTAGGTGTGGTCTTGTGACGTACATCTGTAATGATTGACATAGCTGATACTGTGACGTAGGTGTAGGTGTGGTCTTGTGGCGTACATCTGTCATGATTGACATAGCTGATACTGTGACGTAGGTGTAGGTGTGGTCTTGTGACGTACATCTGTCATGATTGACATAGATGATACTGTGACGTAGGTGTAGGTGTGGTCTTGTGACGTACATCTGTAATGATTGACATAGCTGATACTGTGACGTAGGTGTAGATGTGGTCTTGTGACGTACATCTGTCATGATTGACATAGCTGATACTGTGACGTAGGTGTAGATGTGGTCTTGTGACGTACATCTGTCATGATTGACATAGCTGATACTGTGACGTAGGTGTAGATGTGGTCTTGTGGCGTACATCTGTCATGATTGACATAGCTGATACTGTGACGTAGGTGTAGATGTGGTCTTGTGACGTACATCTGTCATGATTGACATAGCTGATACTGTGACGTAGGTCCAGTCGGGCCAGTAAGTTTCCACAGTCATTGGCCCGACTGTCCAGTGAATTTTCATGGGTTCATTTTTTAAATATAACACTCTCTCCGATTTGTTTAGTTATAACACACTTTAAATTCATGCTGGTTTATGGCCGGTTAAATGATGATATTTTACCTTGCTTAGTTTCTACATTCAAATTTCAGGCTAGTGAATTATTCTGTAGGCTAGTAGCTCTCTTGCAAAGCTAGCCCGGCTGGTTAGAAAAATTTGGAAACTATTTCGCACACTGCTTGTGACGTACATCTGTCATGATTGACATAGTTGACACTGTAACGTAGGTGTGGTCTTGTGACGTACATCTGTAATGATTGACATAGTTGACACCGTGACGTAGGTGTAGGTGTGGTCTTGTGACGTACATCTGTAATGATTGACATAGTTGACACTGTGACGTAGGTGTAGTATTGTGACGTACATCTGTAATGATTGACATAGTTGACACCGTGACGTAGGTTTAGGTGTGGTCTTGTGACGTACATCTGTAATGACTGACACAGTTGACACCATGACGTAGGTGTAGGTGTTGTCTTGTGACGTACATCTGTCATGATTGACATAGTTGACACCGTGACGTAGGTGTATGTGTGGTCTTGTGACGTACATATGTCATGACTGACATAGTTGACACCACCGTCACGTAGGTGTAGGTGTGGTCTTGTGACGTACATGTCTAGTGATTGACGCTGTGACGTAGGTGTAGTCTTGTTACATACATATCTCATGACTGACATGATTGACTCTGTGACGTAGGTGCAGGTATTGTGACCTACATGTATAGTGCTTGAGAGGATTGATTCTGTGACGTAGGTGTAGGCGTAGTCATGTGACCTACATCTCTAATGATTGACTCTGTGATGTATGTTGACAGGGAATCCCACGACGTGTGAGAGGGAGGAAGGAAAGAACGCCGTGTCTCTGTCATGGTGCACCAGCAACTGCACCCTCGACTACTCCGTCGCTGGTAGGTAGAACACGTAGGCTTGTTTTAGAGATAATGTGTTGACCAGGTATGTTTGTGTTGACCAGGGTGTCGTTGTACAAAGGAACTTAGCGCTACGCCAGTCGTAAGTCAGTGTTATGGTATTGGAGTTACGATCACCTTAGCGCTACGCCAGTCGTACGTCAGTGTTTTGGTATTGGAGTTACGATCACCTTAGCGCTACGCTAGTCGTAAGTCAGTGTTATGGTATGGGAGTTACGATCACCACAGCGCTGAGATCGCTTTGTGCAACGGCACCCAGATATGTTTGTACTGACACGCTAATTGCGTTGAACAGGTATGTCTGTTTTGACTATGTGTAATTATGTCCACAAGATAGGTTTCTATTCACCAGGTGTATTTGTATTTACCAGGGTCCCCTTGCACAAAGCTGTCTTAGCGCTAAGGTGATCGTAACTCCCATACTTTAACATAGACTTACGATCAACGTAGCGCTAAGATCGCTTTGTGCAAGTGGATCCAGGTGTGTTGTGTTAACCAGGTATGTACAGGTACCGCGTAACCAGGTATGTTTGTGTTCAGCAGGTATATTTGTGTTCACCAGTTATGCATTAGGTATGTTATGTTCGCATACTTTTGTGTTTGCCAGGTATTTGGTCATCCAAGCAGGCAAAGGAGGCGACAGTTAACACTGTGGCAGTCAACCCCAGCAAGACCGTGATAGCCATGGGAGACAACAACGGCTGCCTCAGCCTCTTCAGATACCCATGTCCCAAAGATGGTGTAAGTAATAGTGGATATTCTATGAGTGCCCATGTCATACTATGTTTACGAAACGAGTGCCTAAATGTTGGTATTTCCCAAGCGAGAGCGAGGGATATACCGATATTTAGGCACGAGTGTCTTAGCGCTAAGGTGTCATACTGCGTTTACGACACGAGTGCCTAAATGTTGGTATTTCCCGAGCGAGAGCGAGGGATATACCGATATTTAGGCACGAGTGTCGTAAACATAGGATGATATGGGCACGAATATAATATTCTGTTTATTATCGAAGTCGTCAAATTGAGAAAAATAAAACCAAATCTACTTTCAAACACAGGCTGGCTACCCGCCGTCGCCGCATGTGGAACGCAACGTCACAGAAGAAACGTGACGTCATAGCCTTGTTCGTGACGTCACGTCACCATGACAAAGTAATACTTTGCCCTAGGGCATCGTATGAAAAATATTAACCCCGATATTTTCGCCCTCGTAGGTAATAATATACAATTATAGACTCTTGTAGAGGTCGATATCGGTTTTTATTGATCTGAGTAAAACAATATCGACCGAGCTTGCGAGGTCGATATTGTTTTTCTCAGGTCAATAAAAACCGATATCGACCTCTACAAGAGTCTATAATTGTTGATATTGTTTATCTCAGGTCAAAAAACCCGATATCGACCTCTACAAGAGTCTATAATTGTTTAATTATATAATGAAAGAGAAACGGGTTTTAACATAAACTTTTAATGCACACACTGTGCCATCTATCCGAGTGATCTGATTGGCTGAAAAGCGGGGAAGCCCCTTCGTATGGGATTACTTGTCTATTTTTAGTAACCCAAGTCAATATCGTAATTTATCAGAAAACTCAAGTCAATATCGTGTTTTGTAGTCAATCATGTGACGGTATTTTGACCAATCGTGGTACAGGAAAAATACTACCTATATAATAAGTACCCATAGTGTCATTAACATCAGACCTGTTCCCTCGGGTCCGTGAAGGCCCGGGTTAGAATATTGGCCTACAGTAACCCATGCTTGTCGTAAGAGGCGACTAAACGGGATCAGGTGGTCAGGCTCGCTGACTTGGTTGCCACATGTCATCGGTTCCCAATTGCGCAGATCGATGCCCATGCTGTTGATCACTGGATTGTCTGGTCCAGACTCGATTATTTACAGACCGCCGCCATATAGCTGGAATATTGCTGAGTGCGATGTAAAACTAACCTAAGTTCCCTCTACCGCTGACAAGTCACGTCAAAACGGTCATTCGCTAACAAAACATAAACTGAGAACAGAGGACGGATCAATGAATGAGTGAGTTTAGCTTTATGCCGCTTTATCAATATTCCAGCAATATCACGGCGGGGGACACTAGAAATAGGCCTCACACATTGTATCCATTGTGACTAGCGAATGCATTAACCATTCAGCTACACCACCGCCCCATCGATCAATGAAATACATACCAGGAAGTCGACATTAGACTATCAGAAAGCAGCTTTTGTCAAGCTTAAGGGACTAGTTTAAAATTGGCGCTTTTCATTCCAGACTATGTCACAAAATATTTTGACAAAGTTGTCTATTAAACAAATTAAAACTTGACTTCAAAGCGTTATAGAATATACTAGAGTATACTATGGAGTAGAGATTATATTAGAAGGCTGAAACTGTGCATACGCACTGCTTTTGGGCTAAGGAAAATCGCTTCCGTTTTGAATGTTTATCAGGCGGTAACTGTTCTTTTGAATTATCCGTTTAAACCTTTTCGAATTTGGGTGATTCTAAATCACATTTCGGCTACCAGTGCTGTCACGCCATTGTCATCTTATGACTGTTGTCATGTCAAATGTTCTCATCAGTCTAAGTAAACTTAGGCTCAGTATTATTCGTCTAACAAACCCTAGTAGAAGATCGCATCAGCTAACCTTTGAGCGACCTATCACCGTCCAGTCAAACGCTAGACGGACGAACGGATTTAACTAATCAAACAACGACTACTTGTTAGGGTTCGGCGGGACTTACAAAACGAATTTTGGATTTTCTCTTCCCCGGTCGCTGACACTGATCTACCAACAAACGAAGATCCGCATAAAACACAGATATTTGACCTACAGTATATACGCTTAGGGATTTCTACTAATGACATGGTTACTATTAGCTTATATTTCCGCACGATCACATCCTCGAATACTGACAATAACGCTCAGAGACTCTTTCCTTTTTGCGTCCTCCATGTGTATCACTCAGAAGCGATTGTGTGGAAAATAGCATTCGGAATCCTTCGAGTTTTTGAGGTAAAGGTTCAAACGGTATGTGCGAATGTTAACTTTCGCGCAAGTCAAAACATTGATTACACAACAGTCTCGTTTCCTGTTGACTGGGTTCCGTCCTATTGCGCAACATAGTACAATAACCGGTGGAGTCTACTAATGCCTACAGTGAATAATGCCTACAGTGTTAAATAAACAACTTTACGCACCAGTGCTGCTGATTGCACCTGCCTTCAACCTTTCAATAAAGTGGCATGGTCCTATTTCAAAGTGCACTAATGCCTACAGTATATAGAAAACAGTAACTTTCACATTGTTGTCATATTTTTCTTAATTTTCTTAAACTTTATTCATATCTTTCACATAGTAGTTTGTTTTGAGATAAATAAATTTACATAAATAAACATAATCATTTATTTGGATTAAAATGTAATTAAAACTTAATTTGATTCATGATTATATATACATATATACATCTTTCACACAGTCAACTACCACATTCATTAATAAAGTCATTGTGGTAACCAAAAGTAATTTACATGTATACACACAGCTTCACACATTCATCAACATAGTCATTTGGTTTTCAAGCTAGCTTGATCAAATATCCTGCAGCAGTCAGGAATTCCAGGGGGTGTCTTGATACCAGATGTCAGCTGGGCCTTCAGACGAGTGAGTCTCTGGTCAATTTCTGTGTACGTCCTCTTGCGGGGTGGGGGACGGGCGCCATGAGCCATCTGCACCAGCTTATTTCTCTCCGCTTTCTCCAGCTTCTGCAGAACCTTCACAAGAGCGAAAATGTTCGGGTGGGCTCTCTGGACGGTCTTGTTGAGATGCGAATGCCAACCCTCGAGATGATTGTTCGTCCTTGGGCCGCTGGTGTCGTGGTGATTCCATAGTCCGGCTCGGAACCGTGCATGGTCGTCTACCCAGGTGCTGGTGATGTAGTCCTGGAACTCATCCTTCTGTCCAATGGCAGGGGCGTCGTCCATGACCTCTATCCAGGCATTTTGTACCATGGCCACTGGGAGGAGGGGGGAGTGCTGCTGCTCGTCGGACCCATCTGTGGACCTCAGGATCCTGCTGGTAGGCTTCGCTGAAGCCGAGGTTCTGTACTTTCCTCCAGAGAGCCTGGCTGTAGTGGAAATAGCATCCACGGACGTCGCAGTTGGGGAAGACGGTCTCAACAGCGTTGATGGCAGCGATTTCGAAATCCGTCTGGATGACATCAGGCTGAAGGGGCGATCCCGTTGTCTGCTGGATCTTGTCGTTCAGGAGACGTAGCAGGCGTTCATAGGTGCGGCGTTGACGATTCGGCAGTAGACAGAAGACCAACTGGGTCATCTTCCCTCCGACTAGGCCATGGATGACGTACAGCTGATCCCAGAGAGGAGGACAGGAGTAGAAGGTGCCGTCCATGTAGAGGGTGTCCACTTCTTGCAGGAGGGTCAGGCGGTCACTTGTGGCGAAGCAGAGAATCTTGTCATCATCACCGTCATCAATGCAGAGGAAGGGCAGTCCATCTGTAGTCTCCTTGAAGAAGTCGGGTAGATTCACCTCGCTGAGCGTCTGGGGAAGTGGCGGCATCATCTTCCGTCTCTGCTTGTAGAGTCCACTCTTCATAGAATGGAACGACTTGACTGTTGCTGCTTCACCTCGGTCAAGTCGGGAAATCTCCTCATCGTAGATCACCTGAACTGGCGTCGTCTCAGTCTGTACCCGCTGCCCCAGGGAACTGGCAATCTTCAGTGTACACACTTCTGTCGCCTGTTGTTGAGTCTGTAGCGGTATCCCTCCAAGAGTACCTGCTGTCCTCCTTTCTGTGATGTGAAGTATTCGACTTTCTTGGGATTTGCCATGATTTGCAATGAAGATTTGTATCACAAGCATTTTAAAGCAATACATTTCCTTCTCCCTTTAATAATCTCTCAATTAATTACTCTATTCTTCAATTTTAAAGCAATACATTTCCTTCTCCCTTTAATAATCTCTCTATTAATTACTTTACTCTTCAATTTCCTTCTCGTGTGAGAGCTAAATGCGTATGGAATTATCAAAACATAAGCTAGCTAACGATTTAATACCCTTGATCTTACTCTTTACTCTCCTTGCTGGCCTCCCCTAATCCCTTTGTAGGCAATAGTGCACACTAAGTGGAACAATCTACTTGTGTGCAGGTAAGCATATCGCTGTCACTGCAAACGTTGTAGCTATTATTCCCTGTAGGCATTATTCACTGTAGGCATTAGTAGACCTAACCCAATAACCAGTCCAGAATTTTGAGACCAATTCATTTAACTGGATACATAAATATTAATCAGTATTATTTGATACATCTAAGCACTTGTATATTGCACCACTACGAGCCTTCTAATCCTTGTAAACACGCCTTGCAGCGTGCTCTGTCGTACAGCTTGCTCTGACAAACGGAAACCTGGAAATCGTGGAAATCTCAAAACGAGGTTCTGCCGCTAGAAAAGTTTGGCGGTCTGGTAGGGAATTGATATATATCAATCACATTGTGCGTTACAGAACTACACTGAATAAGCACAAAAAGCCAGATGAGCCAGATGCATTGTGAATCATTTTACGACCTCATCAAACTGGGGCAGTCTGTAATTTCTTAGTTAAGGTCATGCTGCCTACACCTCGCCATAAAATATAGAAATACGATGTTATTAAAGTTAAAAATTAACATTTATTTGTAAATACCATTTTCTTATGAAGCCGGAAATTGGAATTCAGTGTAACCATAGTTGTTTGTGGTATCTATTTTCACTTTCACACGAGAAAATTCGGATCGGCTGAAAAGTAGGTCATTGTCTGAATAGGTTAATGAGACTCATGTTTCGGTTTGTTTGGTAAGCTGTGTTCTGATTGGTCAGTCCAAAGGTTAGCTAACGCGACCTTCTACTAGGGTTTGTTAGACTCAGTATAGCAGTGTAACGAATAATACTGAGCCTAAGTTTACTTAGACTGATGTTCTCATATAGTTCGTAGTTTTCTTCACCTGATGATTAAATCTGACCACTTACTAAATGGCGTTGTGTATTCTTGGGTTTACAGACATGGTATGATAACACACTGGTGAACCCTGTCCAAGCATATGGGAATTATTGGTCAGTAGTTTATTGAGAAAGAACTGGCTGCATCGAAGTATGGAACTTGAGCGTAGTTCTCATTTGCATATTTATCGGATTGATAAAGGTGTCCATTATATACGTTAATAATGTTATCACATCAGTATGTGACGTATATCTATGTCTGTTGCAGGCGTTCAGCCACACCTACAAGTGCCACCTGAACGTCCAGACCGTGAGGTTCTCCCCCAGCGGCAACTACATCCTCACCATCGGCGGGCGCGACTCCTGCATCATGCAGTGGAAGATCGTGTAGCACAAACTACAGAGACTGTCTCAAACACAATTATCGAAACATATCAATCTATAACAATAGACGAAGGTCCTATTGACCTTGAAACACACTTATATCTGAAAGGATCTTATATCTTAGAATTAGCCAATGGTCCTATGTAGAGTTGTATGCTCCTGTCTTGAAACATAATTACCCAATATCTATCTTAAAATTAGCTTATGATCCAAAATAGAGTTGTATGTTTCTCTATCTTGAAACTCAATTACCAACTATCTTCTCCTATGAAATTAGCTCCTAGTCGTTTGTGCCCCCTCTTTCTTAAGGCACACTTGTCAAACATTTATTCGGAAGTAGCTGATGGTTTTCTATGGAGTTTATGTCCCTCTTTCTTGAAACACATCAAGTGTCATCCATCTGAAAATTAGCCCATGTTCTTATATAATGTTGTCTGCCTACTCTGTCTTAAAACTCACACAACGTACTCTGTTGTCAAGGGTAAACAATGATTCACGTTGATAATTTGTCCTGGAAACAAAGTGCAGTGTGTTTTACGCGCAAAATTGTGATTGACAAGACAACTTATTATTAGAGAACTTAAACTTCCTCTCATGAAGCATACATTCTCAACTGCAATATACATGTACTTCATTGGATACAATAATTATAAGTTTTCCTGGCCAAAATATTGTTAGGGGAACAGAACTTGTAAAATGACAATTGCTCTGATGTGTGACACAGGTAATTATAAAGGTAATGATGCAGATTCACACATGAAGTCTAAACACACACAAATAACTTTGATGCACATAGTGTCTATCTTGACTTCTTTGATTGGCATTCTAGAAGTTGGGTAGATGAAGAATGAAGACTATTTTTATGGGTATACAACTTCATTATTCTCTATAGGCGACGTTTCAACATAGATTCTAATGTCGTTACTTGCTTGACAACGGCATTAGAGTCTATGTCGAAACGTCGCCTATATAGAATAAAGAAGTTGTATATCCATAAAAATAGTCCTCAGTGTCTATCTTGGTTGTGCCAGTCAGAGAAACGGATAACAGAGAAACAGTCAGAGCTGTACACATCCTCATAATAGATGAACAGTCAGAACAAGCACTTGAGAACAGTGAAACTGTCCAGGACTACACAGACTGTAGCACACAACAGAGATATTATACAGTAATCTTGTTGTCATTAGTAGCTGAAAAGATACATAGACCTAGCTACCATTTCTCCTCGTGTCAAACTGAATTTCATTACATTTTGTGTTTCTATATCGGTAGTTCTGTACCTCCAGATATACAATCCTGAATACACAGTGACTGTGATATAATATTCTGTTATTAGCTGTTAAACACTATTGATCATTACTACATATCTCTATCTTATTTGTTTCACAGTGTGTAACACTACATGAATTGTCATCACCGTCACAATCGTGAGGTCATCCATTGTCAACCTCAATTATCCCGTGTATAATCTCCATTTTATTATGCTAAAGAATTACAGTCATACAAAGAGATACAGTTCCCTATTTTGGCTTGTACCATACGTTCCCGATTTGTTTTAAGTGAATTATTGACTAGCCTTTGCATGTGTTTATGACGTATGAAGGATACGTTCACCTTTTCGCGAAGACCAATTTGATCGTGATTCATAAACACATGCTCACTATATAGTCGGTTTTGTACAATCGATTGTGCCTTTAGCAGAGATTTCTTATGGACGTGGAAAGGGTTCTGCTGCTTCTATTCCGAAATTGTATATTTATCAAACTTTCGGGAGATTATATAAGTGGAATACTGTCAAAACACATCTTCGGAATTCGATTTCGGCCGCGGTCTACATTCACAACTGCCGACGTCCGAGTGTTTCATTGTAGGAATTGTATAGCGTTATGTATATAGTGTGAATAAACTATAATGTTATGAGGTGGCTTGTGTCTTGTGTGGAGAACGTCACAGCCTTTGGAGAGACGAAGCACTGTGGTAGCTTCGTACGAGGGCACCTTGACAGTACATGCGTATAACGTTGAACTAATACAATATCGCCGGGATCGGGTGGTCAGGCTCGCTGATTTGCTTGACAAATGTCATCGTATCCCAATTGCGTAGATCGATGCTCATGCTGTTGATCACTGGATTGTCTGGTCCAGATTCGATTATTTACATACCTGAGTGCGGCGTTAAACAACCAACCAATAACACAATATCGCCACACCTAAACTGCCGGAGTGAGTGAGTATGGTTTTACGCCCCTTTTAGCACTATTCCAGCAATATCACAGTGCTGACTGACTGAATTTAGTTTTACACCGATTTTAGCCATATTCCAGCAATATCTCGGCGGGGGACACCAGAAATGGGCTTCACACATTGTACCCATGTGGGGAATCGAACCCGGGTCTTCGGCGTGACGAGCGAACGCTTTAACCACTAGGCTACCCCACCGCCCCATATCACAGTGGGGGACACCAGAAATTGGCTTCGCGCGTTGTTTCCATGTGGGGAATCGAACCGGCCGGGTCTTCGGCGTGACAAGCCAACGCTTTAACCACTAGACTACCCTACCGCCCCCCAAACTGCCGGAAGCATACGAACTTTTTGTATGAGTTAATACCACTTGGATTCCAGTTAATAATGCAGGCAAACTTAAACGGTGCTTGTCAATACCGAAATCCAAAGATGATCCTCCAGTAGAGACTTACTTAGTTTGCGTTTACGGCTACTATCTTTCGGCTGTCTCGCGTTGGCACTACATGTGTGTTTATTGTTCGCCAGTGAACAGCAAAGATATCGTAACTGGATTGTGTCTCATCCTAGCGATGGAATTGGTCCAATTAGTATATGATTTTTTCTCACCTGTATTTATCTTCGTTGCAGGAGACCCGTGAAGGTCCGGGTTAGAATGAACCTTCAGTAACCGATGCTTGTCTTAAGAGGCGACTAACAGGATCGGGTGGTCAGGCTCGCTGGCTTGGTTGACACATGTCATCGGTTCCCAGTTGCGCAGATCGGTGCTCATGCTGTTGATCACTGGATTGTCCACACTCGATTATGTACAGACCGCCGCCATATAGCCGGAATATTGCTGAGTGTGGCGTAAAACTAAACTCACACACTAACTCGTTGCAGGAATTAAAATAAGAAAAAAGCATTGTCGTCTAGATGCAACTAACTGTACAATCCAGTAGGTATTAATGTTTGTGCCGAAACAAGAAAGCCTTGATGATATATATGAGTGACAGAGTGAATATTGTTTTTTTGCTGCTTTTAGCAATATTCCAACAATATCAACGCAGGGAACACCAGGCCCCGATTTCTCGAAACAGAATTAAGTCTGAGTTTTGACTTAAGTTTGAGTTTTCACTCAAATTTGAGGAAACGCAGGTAAATACATTTCCCAGAATGAACTGAAATTGATATGTAACCCCTTGGATGCCGAATTTTTTTTCAGGCGCACATTTTCATACGGTTTGAAAAGTGAACGCTGTGCAAGAATTGCGCTTGCGTGGTCCTGGATTAACGTACGGCTATAAAATTACACAGAAATGTAGAATATAAAATATCCTATCCGTTGGTATAAATATAAGTGCAACTACCTCGGCGGTTTGAGAAATATACACTGCTAAATGTTGTCCAAAGTTTGTTATGCGTTAAAAAACAGTAAATTTATCCGCTTTTTATCGCGCACCCATAAAAGCACAGTGCTAGGAAATTTTTAATGTGGCATCTTTACGGAAAGTGTGAGCGAAGAAAATACAGCCTGATATCTGAACGACTGACTGACTGACTGAGTTTGGTTTTACGCCGCTTTTAGCAATATTCCAGCAACATCACGGCGGGGGACACCAGAAATGGGCTTTACACATTGTACCCATGTGGGGATTCGAACCCGGGTCTTCGGCGTGACGAGCCAACGCTTTAACCATTAGGCTACCCCACCGCCCCTATATCTAAACGACACGAGTGTATATGAATTGGGTTTATGTGCTTGTGGATAACGTTAGACGCTCAACATCAAAAATGACTCGCAATAAATGTCAAAAATAGATTTCTTCTATGACGTCACAAACGACGACAGAGAGGTCATACACGTATAATGATAAGGGGGCATAACTCCGTTATTCGTAACACTAGGTCCATGTAACTCAGATCACTTAAATTGGAGAAAATTTGTTGTGGATACGGAGGCTATATTATCGTTATTTTATGTTCATGGTGAACCAAACTATTCCAATTCAAAGTTCACCAATGTGCGCGGATGCAGTGTGGTAGTTTCAGAATTTATGTGAAAGCACGTAATAGCGATTTGGATGGCCCTATCCGATATATAAGTTAGCCATATCTTCAAATGTAATGAAATTGCTGAAATTGATACAACATTTTAGTTGACGTCATTGCTTGTTTTATGCATTTTGCGACGTCGGAAAAAGACGACATTGGTATGCTGATTAGTATATATCTCACCCAATTTCCAGTAATTGTAGAAAAGGTCTCGGCTTCTACGTCAGAATTTAACACTCTTTAGACAAAACATTAAATGACTGATTTTTCCATTTTTAATAGTGCCCTGAACATATCAACAATTAGACAGTTTAACAGTCAAACAAGCGCAGTCTTTCGAGCACAGCGTTCGTTTTCACACCCAATATCTTTCGTTTCATTTTATCTAGACAGTTGGTATTGGTGACACAGACCAGTAGCAGTTTGATTCTAAAGTGTATGGAGAATTCAGTGATGCATTTTTCGAAGCTGAATATGAAATATACGTGATGTAATAGGCGTCTCAATATCGGCGTTCGGGAAACGTGATTTTGTAAACACTATCCAATATGGCGAAAAGCGCTCTACGGCGTTCTTATAAGTGTATTTTCGAAAACATCCCATCCGATTCTAGATTCATCGGTAGCGTTTCAGAATTATCATTAGCGATTTCATGTAAAACTGATATCAGTGATCATGAATATGTTATTTTTTAAATTCAATTCTCCCAGTAATTATCCGATTTTCATATTTCAAAACATACAGCAAATAACGCCGTAGTCGCGATTTCGTACTGTGTCAAAAATGGCGACATTTTCGATGAAGCCTATTTTGAAAGGTCATTTTCAGCACTTGAGCTTTGTCTAAAATAACAGTGGATGGTATCAAGAAACTGGAAATTTCCCGCAGAATTCGAAACTGTGAAGTGTATTTGTGTGCATGGGATATTTTGATATTTTTTGGACTTGAAATTGAGGGTTGAAGGGGAAGGACATATATATCCCTGTGGCATCCAGGGGGTTAACTCAAATTTAGTAGACAATTTAATTTTGGTGGATAGATTTCTGAACTTGTTTGGGCTTTTTTATTGCAAAAAATCAGTTGAGTTAAAAATTCAGCTGTTTCAAATTGTCAAACTGAGTTTGAAATATGAGTAAAACTTAAGTTTGTTTCGGCAAATCGGGACCAGGACCGGACTTCACACATTGCACCCGTGTGGGGAATCGAACCAAGGTCTTCAGCGTGACGAGCGAACGCTTTAACCACTAGGCTATCTCACCGCCCAGATGATATGAGATCGTAATAGCATGAGAGAAGCAAACCAAACCAAACCAAATGGGTTTGCTCATTGCCGTGCACCGACTACTTTTCGTAAACGCGTTCTCTGCGCCCGTCCAACTTATCCTTGTTTGCCAGTAGTAGATGTCGTTTTATCTCGTGGAACACAATTTTGGATGATAAAACTGGATTGACGGTTCGTTATGCACAGTAGTCCGT